CTGGAGAAGGTAGAGACAGTGCATTTGGAAGATTGTTAAAATCAGTTTTCCTGTGAAAAGGCCAGAAAAGTGGGATAGGAGCCAGACACGAGGTCAAAGGAGAGACTTTGTTAGATGGGAGATACTAAAGCATATTTGTTCTGCTACTACTATTTTTGTTTTAATTTTATGACTTTGAGCTGCTTCGGTTGCTTAACTAAGAATGCCTTAATAACCATGTTCTTGTTTTTTGTTCATTTTAACTTCGAATTAAAATGATCTCTTAAGCTTTAAGCTTTTTGAGCAGAGGGATGAAATAATATTTGCTATATTATCCTCAATAATATAAGCATAGTGTAGTTTTTTAAAAAAAATATTTATTCTTTTTGTCAGAGAGAGAGAAAGATCACAAGTAGGCAGAGCAGCAGGCAGAGAGAGAGGGAGAAGTGGGATTCCCGCTGAGCAGAGAGCCCAATGCAGGGCTCGATCCCAGGACCCCAAGATCATGACCTGAGCTGAAGGCAGAGGCTTAACCCACTGAGCCACCCAGGAGCCCCAGCATACTGTAGTTAGTGATTGTTTTTCAGTAAATGAATTAAAGATAAGCCAAAAAACAAAAACAAAACAAAACAAAACAAAAACCAGAGGTTGGCTATAAAGTTGTCCTTACAATTCATTCATCAGAACCAAATTTTTATTCTTGGCGTTCTTCATCATCAGACTGCATATATGGAGCTGAGATGCATCTGTGTCAAACTGAATTTGGAAATAGTGTTGTGGATTTATATAGAAAAGTTATTGTGTATATGCAGTGTAGGTAAGTTATTCCTCCAAAAAAAGAGAGTTTGAATTTAAAGGCAAGAAAAAAGATAATTCAGATTAAGAAATAGAAGGATCACAGCAAACACATTTGCAATGAAAGTACCTAAAAACCACATTGTTCTAGCAACAATTACATAACTGTTCTTTGCTAATTTAAGGGGGGAAAGTACTTTTTTTCCTACTATGAGGGCGTATTTTAGTATCTGAAGTTTTGGATTTTGGATGAACTCATGACTCAAAGTTGAATAAGATTTAAGGTACCAACAGTTTGGTGGACTGCTTTTTATCAACAGATAACATTTTTGACAACCAACTCTTAATGTATAATCACCAAAGCCAAATTTTAAAAACTCAGTCCTAAAAATATAAGACTAGAATGATCTTTGAGATGATCCCCTGCTTTAAAATCAAGATTTAATTTAAATCAATAAGACTAAATCTGCTCTAATATTTTTAGAGCTGTTTTTAGAGAATAGATTTGATAGCATCCTAAACAATCATACTGGTGTATAAATGAACTTAATTTGGGTGGGATTATTGGTAGCCAGGTGTTTAGACTATGATAAGTGATTTTATTATCTAGCAGATGCATAAGGATGTACTGTAGTTAAGTTGCTAGCTATAATTCTGACTGATTTATAATAAGTTATAAGTATATAATAAATAGTAACCTTCTCTTGAGAACTAATGTAAGAGATCAACACAATCGTCTTAGTAGATTTCCAGAGGAAAAAACTCAATTTTAAATTCAGGGTTTGATTATGAATTTTGTTTCAACCTGAGTAGGCTGTGATGGCCGGTTGTTTTGTTTAGTCTCAGTCTAGATGTTGCTGTGAAGGTATTTTTTTATATGTGATTAATATTTAAACTAACAGACACTGAATAAAGGAAATGACCTTCCACAGTGTGAGCCAACTTCATTCAATCAGTTGAAGACCTTAAGAGAAAAGATTGAGGTCCCCTGAAGAAATTAATTAATTTCTCTCTCTCTCTTTCTTACCTGGGGGGGGGGGGGGGGGACACAAGCTGTGGGAATGGCAGGCAAAGGGAGAAGCAGGCTCCCTGCTGAGCAAGGAGCCTGATGCAGGGCTCCATCCTGGGACCCTGGGATCAGGACCAGAGCGAAGGCAGAGGCTTAACTGACTGAGCCACCCAGGCGTCCCTGAAGAAAGAATTTCTGCCTTGAGGCTGCCTTGGACCCAGGATTGCAACATTTACTCTTTACTGGCTTTTCAGTTTGCTAGTCTGCTTTGCAGATTTCAGACTTGTCATCCCCTACAATCCTGTAAGCCAATTCCTTAAAATCAATCACTCCCTGCCCCTTCTCTCTGTCTCTGTCTCTCTCTCTCTCTCTCTCTGTGTATATGTGTATTGGTTCTGTTTCTCTGGAGAACTCTGACTAGTAGTATACAGAGGTTGGAAGACTTTTTCTATAGAGAAACAGATGTTAAATCTTTTATTTTATTTATTTATTTATTTATTTATTTATTTTTTAGATGTTAAATCTTTTAGGCAAGACAGACCAAACTGTCCCTGTCACATGTACCCAACTCTGCCATTGTAACACAAAAATGGCCATGTAAATGAATGGGTGGGTCTGTGTTCCAGTAAAAACTTATCTACAGAAATAGGTGGCTGGCTGTATTTGGAACAGGACTGTAGGTTACTGACCCGTATATTTAAATGATTGCCTGATAATTCATGCCAAAGAGACAAGGGAGGGTATGTGTCTCTCTATGTATAATAATTTACTATCCCCACTTTCTCTCTTCCTTTATATACATGTACACACACAGACACACAGACACACAGACACACACACACACACACACACATACTCTTAAGGATGTTTATTCAAGTGAGGTTTGAATCAAGAAGCAGTTTTCATCCTTTGTATATTAGGGGTTATTACTTTGGCTGATAGTCTCAATCTTCAACTTGGGTTTTACATGTTTTATCTTTACCCTTTTTTTTAAGATTTTATTTATTTATTTCAGAGAGGGTACGTGTATATGAAGCAGGGGAAGAGGGGCAGAGGAACAAGCTGACTCCCCACTGAGCTTGGACCTGGATGAAGGACTCCATCCCAGGACCCTCAGGCCATGACCTGAGCCACCCAGGTGCTCCCCCTCCCCAAGAATTTCTTAAATACTGCAACAGAAAGTCTCACTCTTGTCAATTCTGAACTAATAACTGACTAGTCAGCCTTTTCTCTGATGCCCCATTCCGTTTCTTAGAGGAACGAGTAATGAGAGAGGAGATTGATAGGTGGACAGGGGAGCTGGAAAACACAACTGGCAACCCAGTCTACCAGCTTTGCAGTGTCCATGATGGTTCCAGATTCCAAGATGTAATCCTTAAAGGCCATCATTTTGCTCTCGGCAAACAGGAACATCGTTGACGAGGCGGGTAATAATTTACTATCCCCACTTTCTCTCTTCCTGTACACCGTAAGTGCCAGGAAAGTATTGTGATTCCTTAGGATCTTTCAACAAATCAGTCTTTGTTGCCTACTTGTACAACAGTTAGTTGGAGAAGAGTTTTAAGTTCTCAGGAATATTGGAAAGTTAGAAATCTCAAAAGCAAAATAATATCACTGTAGGCCACAGGGCAGGAAGAAGTTAGGCTGATTCAAGATAAAATTAGGCAAATACACTTTTTTTTTTTAAAGATTTTTATTTATTTATTTGACAGAGAGAGATCACAAGCAGGCAGAGAGGCAGGCAGAGAGAGAGGAGGAAGCAGGCTCCCCGCTGAGCAGAGAGCCCGATGTGGGGCTCGATCCCAGGACCCTGAGACCACGACCTGAGCCGAAGGCAGCGGCTTAACCCACTGAGCCACCCAGGCGCCCCGCAAATACACTTTTGAAGTGAAAATTAAAATCGTACCCCACAATGTTACTATGTATGTATTTACCATATTATCGTTTCATTTATCATATCACCATCTGTGTCTGTCCCATCATGGGTATTAGAAATGTTAAAGGAAATTGAGAGCCTAGGAAGCACTGAAAGGAGCCACATCAAGTTTGATAAGTGATCTGGATGTCATATATTACTTGGACTAAAAGAGAGTATTTAAGGGAGATACAAATAACTTTATGTAAAACTCTGTCATTTAGATTTTCTGTTTATTGCTACAGATTGGAAGCCTAGACACCATAGGTAGAAGCCACGAAGAGGCTAATTTCAGGAACCTATAATCCTATAATAATTCTTTAGAGCAATCCAATACTGGAATGGACAGTACCACAACCCACGGGCTTCTGTTACTTCTAGAAATGCCTAACCTGACATTCAGAAGCCGTCTTAGGAAGGAGGTGTGTTGGATCAGGTAATCTTAAAATATCTTTCACAACATTACCCTCCGGATCCAGTGTTTCTTAAGGCAATTAAATCATATCCCAGGCAATACCAAATCTCTGCTCACTACAGCTTCCAACTTTGAGATAGGCCAAAACTTCCAAAAAAGACTTTAGTCCACATGGAGGAAGACCAAATGGGAAAAAGAACAAGTATATAGTATAGAATTCCTCAGTATGGTTTCTTGTCCCGGCTTCTTTCAGCTACGTAGCCCCCAATCTCGAGTCCTCTACTCTCGTGTCCTCATCTACCTTGGGATGTTTACCACAGCCCGGAAGGGATGGCACTTTCTCAGGCACATTGCCTGCCTCTCTCATTGTACCGTAGGGAGCTACTCATCATTGGGCATAAGAAGTTATACCTAGAGAAATTTGGCAAGAAGAGTATGTTCCATGGACACAACATTTCGTTCTTTCTAGAGTGTTAATTAGACAGTTGCCAACTTATAAAGAGCAATAAATGTCTCTGGAATTGTAGTGACCTGGAGAGTACTGCTTTCCTCTGATCCTCGAGTTGGAAGGAAGAATAAGACACCATCGATACAGGACGAGGACCCACATGGAGCACGCCTGATGGGTTTTGTTTTCTGTGTGGTATTCAGGGCTGAAATGCCAGCAGAGCAGAGCCCTGGCTGAATGCCAGCACCAGCCTTCCCTCTTCACCCTCTCTCCCACAGTGCTCACCTCTCCTCTAAATAAAGTTGAACAAATATTTCAAGAATGTTGGTTTGAAGGGGAGCCAAATTATTAACCTATGTAGCCCTACATCTCTTTCAGGCCCTGTGTTTGCCATAAGTGTCTAAATCTATTATCTCTTTTTTTCTGTTTATTTCTATAGTGTCCATGGAAAACGTTGGGGAACAAGGTAGGCTATGTTTTATTATTGTTTTGTATATAAAATTTTAAAGAGAGTTCTTAAAAATAGTATTCATTTAGATTTGGTTGGAATTAATAAATTATACTTGGAGAATGTGCAGTCAAGATGGGGTTAAAGACTTCTCTCAGTCTCCAGACTGAATTCTGTCAGACGCTTGGCAAAGACCTCTCCCTTGAAATGGTAGCCATGGTGCCAAAGATTCTTGTGGCTTTGAGATATAGGAATATCAACAATTTCCTGTTTCAGCTCAGAGTATTACCCCATACCTGAGTCATTCATAGTGTTCATGGAAAATGTCATTAGCTCTAGTCATTTCACACTGATTTAAGTGACTTAATGGACAATTGCATTTTTAAATGATTCTGTAAGTATCATCATTCTTTAAAAAGAAGATAAATGATAAATGAAGAGTATTATAATTTTTTTTAAAAATTGCCACACAGTTTTAAAATTCCAAACGTGCTGTATTTTGAATTAGCATGTTTTATTCAACTGTGTCTTACAGAGTTAATTTATATATTAATGTATTATTCAGAAATGATCATTGTCACTGTATACAAAATTAATATTTTATATTTGCATAGTACAGCATTTCACCATACAAAAAAGCCATACAAAGTGTGTTTGTATACATTGCCTGAAAAAAGTATGCTTTTCTTAACAATTGTCCCATGTGATAAACAAGACACTTGAACTCCTGTTGGAGGAAATCCTTTTTGTCCAAATGGTCTCTGTTTAATTATGTAGTCATTAAACATTCAGGGACAACACATTTGACCACAGCTAAGCAAAATTAGCAAACAGCTTCTCAAATAGGAACTGCCTTTGGTATCCTTTGTCAGTGAAGTAAAGTTCTTAAAACCTGAATGTTTTAACATTTATTTGTTTAATTCTGTGTTTATTACTTAAAGTTGAAGGCATAGCTGCCTTACTTTTATAATTTAGGAAAGGTCCCTATAGCTATTTGGCCAATAGATGGGCCTGTCTAGAGATGAGAGCTTTCCTTTCATGGGACATTAAATAACTGAATTATTAAAGAATTTGGTTAACTTAGAACAACTAGATCTTTGTGAATACCAGGGTTTCAATTTGTATTTGCATATTATAATGATAATATGTTCTTCTCATTTGCATATTACAATGATAATATGTTCTTCTCATTTTAGTTGTGTGCCTGATTGCTTATCATCTACTTTTTGCAATGTTTGTCTGGTCATACTGGAAAACTATCTTTACATTACCAATGAATCCTTCAAAAGAAGTAAGTTAAAATATTAATAAAGTTACCTTAAAGTTAGAAATCAATAACACTGATGTCTGAAGAATGGATTTTATGTCTTTTTATTAATGTTTCAAGCTTAGTGAGTGTAGTGATTTGTTTATATTAATATGTCTGTTGGTAAATACTTGAATTTTCACTTGGCAAATATTTTTGCACTGTGTGAGTATTGTATATCCAATATTAAAACTGTCGTGTGTTCCGTTTCTACTTTAGAGTCTGACATCAGGGTGGATGGATCGGTATACAGACAGAGCTGATGGTAGACATTGCTATATTATAATTATCAGTTATCATACTAATAGTTAATTAGTTGACTGTCAACCACCAGAAACAACAACAATAAAATAACAATGTTACTAATCTTCTCTTACATTCAAAGTCTGTAGCTAGTCCACAGCTTCTTGCTCTGATATGTGTAGCCTCCATTTCCAACATCACCTCTTGGCCTAAGATGGATGCTCCAGTTCCAGCCATCATGTCTACCTTCCAGACAGCAGGTCAGAGAAACTAGGATAGAGGAGTGGAAGTAAATGTCCTTCCTTTTAAGGATGCTTTCTGGAAGTTGCTAATGCCATTAACTTACATTAGAACTTACTTTCTACTTACTTTAGAACTTAGTTATATAGCCACATTCTTTATGCAGAAGGTTGGGAATGTAGTCTTTATTCTCAGTGGCCGTGTTTACCATATTAACCCTGTCAGAAGGAAATTGTGGATATTGGTGGGTGGGGGGAATAGCATTCTCAGCTACGGAAGGTTTTGAGTAAAGTGATATGGTCAAATTTGCACTTTGAAAAGATCATTCTAAGTATTTGTTTCTGAGTCTTTCACCTTGTTAAACATTCTTAGAGCAAAGGATCGTGTCTTACTCATTTCTGTATTGTTGGCACTTAGTCCACTACATGTTTGTTGAATTGAAATAAACTTTATTCCAGTAATAATGGTAGAGTTTTAGTTGGCCAAGTTAAAAAAAAAAGAAAGAAAGAAAGAAAAAAGAAAGGTCTAGGCATCACTGCGAATTGTTCCCTGAAGTAATCTGTTTAAAATGCAGCTGTGGTCAAAAAGCCCAATAAATATGCTATACGACTTGGGAAAGGATATTAAAAATAAAACCACAGATATTTGCACAGAATTAGTGGTATGCTTGGCCTAAAATGCTTTACATGTAGCCTTTTTATCTTCTACTCTCTACTAATTTTTTTTCCTACCGTTCCCCCCCTTCCTCCTGCCATGTTTGCGCCTTTCCTGTTATCTCTCTTATCCCCATCCTGATCTTAGTCATAAGTAAGAAGGAGAATGCAGACCCCTTTCATAGGTGATCTCATCCTCATCATCATAGATGATCTCTGTATTGATAATTCCCAAATCTGTTTCCAGCTTTGACCTCTCCTGTTGCAAACTCACGTTATTTCCCTGCCAAACACAGCTCCTTAATCCACTGACACCTCAAATACAACACATCAAAAGCTGAAGTCACCCCCACTCCCTTCCCCAAACCATGACTCATCTGTTTCTTACACTGGTTAATGCTGCTGCCATCCAGCTCACCCTTCTGGACTTTCCAGCCTCTTGGAAGCTTGGCAGCCTTGCCCAGAATTCTCCCGCTTTCTTGCCCCTCCCCCAACATCTAAATCTTGCTGATGTTTTTACTTCCTAATTTTTCTTCTTTGGTTCCAACACCCCCCTCCTTTTTTCCCCTTTCTTTCTTTTTTTTCATACCATTACCATAATTCAGGGTCTCAGTCACCTCTTTTGCCTGAGACATTGCAGTCTCCAGTAGGATTTTACTACTTACAGTCTTACCTACCTTCCCTTCTCAGAGCCCTGCAGAATTTCTCTTTACCAAAGCTAGAGGTCTAAAATCAACTTAAACTTCTCCACTCTACATCTGATAGCTCTTTCAACCAGTTCCCCTATTCTCCGTATTTTCAGCATTCTATCCCGTAAGCAAGATCATATCATTCTTTTGCTCAGAACTTTCCTTTGATATGTGAGCTCATTCAGAGTAGAAACACAATTCTCTACTATAGTTTACAAGGCTACACGTGCCCTGCCCCCTCACCGCCTCTTGGACCTTCTTCATTGCTGCCTCAGTCACACTGGTCTCTTTGCCCATAGGTCAATATGCATGTTTCTCCTTTGGGGGTCTTGAAACCTGGTATTTTCCCTTGATCTGGAACATTCTTCCTATAGATAACTGTGTGGCCAGGTCCCTTCCTTCCTATTTCTATGTCTCTGCTCAAATGATACCTTATCTTTGAGGCTTTCTGTGACCACTCTGTATAAAATGGTAAAATTCTATGCCTGGAATTCCCTATAAACCTTAACCTTGCTTTATTTTTCTCCATGGCATAGCATTGGATAACTCATTCCTTCTTCACTTTTTATATTATTCCTAGAATGTAAATTCTGCAATGGCATGAACTTTATCTATTTTCTTCTCTGACCCATTGCTAGTACCCATTGCTGACCCGTGGGTCAGCAGTACCTGACCCATAGAAGGTACTTGATAAGTATTTGTCAAATGATTGGACATAGAGTAGAAGTTATGTGTACAGATGCAGGTTTGTGTTTGTAGCTTTGGCAGAAGTTGAAGTGACTTCTAATTTCTCCCTAAAAGTATATGTGAGATCATTGGCTACGAATGGGAGGGAGGGAGGCTTGACTGAAGTTGGGGAGAGCAGACATTGAAATAGTAGTTAAAGTGAACAGGAAAGTAAAATGTAAAACATGGAAGAAATGACACAGTATTTGAGGGAGCAGTTGAGATCGAGGACAGTGATTTATACCTGCAGCAGGTTTTGTCAAAGATTTTTCTACCAAAAAACCCCCATATGCTTTATTCCATTCCTACACCTGTGTGAGATAGATACTATTTATTACATTTTACAAATGGAGCAGTAGGCTCTGAATGTTAGCTAGTTATCCCAGGGTGTCTAAAGCTAGTGTGTGGTAGAGCTAGCATCAAAGCGAAGTTGTTCTGACCATCAAGCCTACATTCTTGCCAGTATACCATGCGCTTAGTATGGAAAGTGGACACCCCAGTGCCGGGAGGTGGGGGAGGCGGGGGCAGCCAGGCCATCAGTTGGAGCATGGAGAAAAAATATCACTTCCATTTATATATTATTTTTCTAGTGTTTCTTTTTTTAAAATTAAGCTACATATATAAGGCAGAGACATTTATAGAAATATATATAAAATATATATAATTATATATGAAGAATAAAATATGTATAAAGTTTTATATGTAAGATCTCATATATAATAGCTAATAATAAATATATAAATAAATATGCATATCAGTCTCAAATGAGCTTTTTTACTGATGGGTCCATGGTCAAAAGAATTGGAAGACCATTATTATGAAAGAGCCCTGACTTGCTGGTTAAGAATCTTGAGTTATTCCATTAATAAAGTGTAAGATCTCACCCTAATCTTTTAATTGGTCAGGAGCCAGAGACCCTCCCACTTGTAAAATGAGGGGTCCTTGACTTAATTGACAATAGAGTGCTCTCAGCTGCTGAAAATCTTAGAAATATGGGACTAAAATAGCAGGAGAAGAGGCTGTATAAGGAAATAATGTTAATATTTTCTCATTACTATTGAGAGAATTCTAAGAAATCTGGAATTCTACGAAATCTAAAATTTACCTTTTTATATAACAGGATTGTAAAATTGCTAATATTTTTTCAATTTATAAGATTTTTTTCCCCTATGAAAGTAAGATAACCATACTAATTTGAAAATGGAGACTAAACAAAAAAAGAAAGGAAAAAAGAAAAACACTCCACACTAATATAGGCAGTTTGCATGCAGATTTTCTTTCGAGTTATTTTTCCTGGTTGTATTCAACATGCACATATTCTAGTTTTTTTCCCCACATAATAGCCCATCATTGGTTTATTGTCATTTTTAAAAATGTCATAATATCCTCACTGAAATATGTAAAAATTTATTCTGTCACATCCCAACTTGGAATTTTAAACTGATCCCAACTTTCTGTATTATAAATTTGTGTTAACATGTTTGTACATGTTTTGTACACACTTTTTACCTATATTTTGGATTATTCCCTTATTATAAATTCTCAAAATTACTAGATCAAGGAAATTGCAGTCACTTGCCAAATTGTTTGAAAAGAGAATGGTAACAAGTTACAGTGCTAACAGTTTTATTGGAACTTTGGCATCGCATGTTGTCATTAAGAAAGCCACTGGTTGCTGATTTAATGGACAAAAATGTTCTGTGTTTTAATTTGTACATTTTAGATACTGATGAGATTATATGTTCCCTTTTGTGCTATGTGAAAAAGAATTGGGGGGGTGGGTTGTGGGGGCTAGGGAGGGAAAAAATGAAACAAGATAGGACCGGGAGGGAGACAAACCAGAAGAGACTCTTAATCTCAGGAAACAAACTGAGGGCTGCTGGGGGAGGGAGGGATAGGGTGGCTGGGTGAAGGACACTGGGGAGGGTATGTGCTGTGGTGAGTGCTGTGAATTGTGTTAAGACTGATGATTCACAGACCAGTACCCTTGGGGAAAATAATACATTATATGTTGATTTAAAAAAAAGAACTGGCAGAAAATATAATTCTGTGAGTTTTCTGTTTGGTTATTAGATTTCAGTTTTTTTCTTAAGTTGTATATCCTATTAAAATTATAGTCTTCTTTAACCTGAAAAGTCTATTTGATTTCGGATCTTGGGTTTCTAATACCTTTCTCTAGGTAAGAAAGGAGGAATCCTTGAAGAAATGGACTCTAGAACTAGGGCAGGAATTAAGAGTGTGTGTGTGGAGGGGGCAAAATAGATTAAGGGGATTAAGAGGTAGAAACTTTCAGTTATAAAATAAATAAGTCTCAGAGATGAAAAGTACGGCACAGGGAATATAGTCAATAGTATTATAATAACGTATGGTGACAGATGGTGACAGCACTTACCATGGTGAGCATGGAGTAATGTATAGAATTGTTGAATCAATATGTTGTACATTTGAAACTATATAACATTGTATCTTAATTATGCTTAAATAAAAAGTAAAAATTAAAATTAAAAAAGATGAGCCAGAGCATCTTATAATAATGACAAGTGAGGTAGTGCTCTAAAGTAAATAAAATAGAGTACTTTCTCGACCTACGATGGGGTTACATCCTGATGAACCCTTGTAAGTTGAAAATACAGTAAGTTAAAAATGCATTTAGTACATCTAACCCATTGAGCGTGATAGCTTAGCCTAGCTGACCTCAAACATATTCAGAACACTTACATGAGCCTACATCTAGGCAAAATCTTTAATACAAAGCCGATTTTATAGTAAATTGTTGAATTTATTGAATACTGTACTGAAAGTGAAGAACAGTGGTTCTTCATTTGGGGACAAAATGGTTGTTAAGTGTCTTTGTTGTTTACCCTTGTGATCACGTGGCTGGCAGGAGCTGTGGCTTGCTGCCACCGCTCCACATCATGAGAGAGGATCATACCGAATATCACTTTCCTGGGAGGAGATACAAATTCAAAATTTGAAGTATGGTTTCTAATGCATATATATCGCTCTCACACCATTGTGAGGTTAAAAAAAATCATTGAACCTCTGTAAGTTGGGACCATCGGTAGGTTGTTGGTGGCATATCAGAAGGCCACAGGAGCCAACTGGAGACTCCCAATGACCAAAGCTAGAACAATCTGAGCAAAAAAATAAATAAAATAGTATTGGATTATAACCCAAAGTATAAAATAAATATCTCTGAGTCTACTGATATAAGTAAATGAATAAATGAATGAATAAACGGGGAGCAAAATCTCTTATAGAAGAATTTCAAATAATGTAGATACTCTGCCTTTAAGAGAGACAAGAATAAAAAACCCCACTACTTCAAAGTAGGCTGCGTGTGGTGAATTTCTTTCAAAGAGTATAGGATGGAAAAGGGAAAAACACGAGGAACTTTAGAGTGGAAGAACCTGACAAACACTGCCTCAACCAGGTGACCGAGGTTCAGTCGGCACTGATAGATGTTGTTAGCATATCCCCTTGAGAGGATGTGGTATGAATGGCGCTTTCCCTCTGTGGTCTTCATCCCCCTGACAACTAATCTCAAACCCATCATGAGAAAAACATCAGACAAATTTTAATAGAGAAGCATCTTATAAAATAGCTGACCAGAATACTCAAAACTGTCAAGGTCAACAAAAACAAGGACTATCTCTGAAACTGTCACAGTCAGGAGGAACTTAAGGAGATAGGACAAATAAATGTACTGTGGCATACTGGGTGGAATCCTGGAAGAGAAAAAGATATTCAGTAAAAACTAAAGAAAACTAAAGAAATCTGAATAAACTATGGACTTTAGTTAATAATAACGTATCAGTATTTATTTACTAATTGTGGTAAACATACCATAATGTACTAATATTTGATGTTTAGTAATGTGGGCAATTTGATGAGAAGATATATGGAAACCATGTAATATTTGCTCAAATTTTCCATAAATCTAAAGTGTTTTAAAGTTGATAAAACTATTTAAACAAGACAAAATAGAAGGGGACTACCATAATCTGCACTGTGATAATCTGCAGGTTGGTGATAGGTCTAGGACATTATCTTTCCACCCCAGGAGATCTTCCATTCCTTCAGATCTCTACAGCTGTCATCTTTCTTCAAATCCATGACATACCTTTGCATAGAAGTATTCTGGGGGAAAGGTCTGTATATTTGGTACATCCCAAGGTAAAATTAGATATTTGGACATCCATGTTATACAAGTAATAATTCTACCAACCTGTATTTGGTATTCTAGACCTGATGCCATGTGTTTATTTACTAATAAAAGCATTAAACATCTGAGGAATCTTTCAGTTCTGTTACTCATTTTTTTTAAGATTTTATTTATTTATTTGACACAGAGAGAGAAATCACAAGTAGGCAGAGAGGCAGGCAGAGAGAGAGAGGAGGAAACAGGCTCCCCGCTGAGCAGAGAGCCCGACGCGGGGCTCCATCCCAGGACCCTGAGATCATGACCTGAGCTGAAGGCAGAGGTTTTAACCCACCGAGCCACCCAGGCGCCCCGCTGTTACTCATTTTTTAAAACTGAGATTTAAGGTAGCAAGCAAGTGAAAAGCAACTGATGGAAAGAATGCACTATGCCTTTGTAAATGTGACCTTCATTTATTTGTTATTTGTATTCATTTGAGAAAGGACTGGTTGAAGTCTAATTTTGAAACACTATGAAATTAATTAGTAGGAAAGAAAATGTGGATTTATAATGGGAGGAATATTTTTTTTTTAAAGATTTTATTTATTCATTTGACAGAGAGAGATCACAAGTAGGCAGAGAGACAGGCAGAGAGAGAGAGAAGAAAGCAGGCTCCCCACCAAGCAGAGAGGCTGATGCGGGACTCGATCCCAGGATCCTGAGATCATGACCTGAGCCAAAGGCAGAGGCTTAACCCACTTAGCCACTCAGGCGCCCTAATAATGGGAGGAATATTTAATGTGGAGAATACCTTTTTCAGTTACTTTAGAAACTCTTAAAGACTTAACTATAACCTACCTACTAGTTTAATGCCAGTAAATTTGATACACTAATTTAGAATAATTTGTATTATGTAAATTTATACTTAGAGAAAATTTTTTACTTTCTTTCCCTTAATGGGTCTGAAATTTTACAGTATATTTAACTAAGTGTCATGCATATGGAAATATTATGGTAACTTAGAAATGACCTACATTTGAAAACTGGAGATTCATTTTTCTTTTTAAAATAACCTCAATAGAATTGTCAACCTCTAAACAAAGATTTTTAATTTTTATTTCTCCAAAGAGAAAGCTTTAGGCTCAAACATCATGACCTCATTTTCAACAACTTGTTTTTCTTTCCTTCACTGACATAATTAGATCACTTTTTTAAGACTTAAAAGGTGAACTATATCATACATACAAAAAAAATATAATGCACAATTTAAAGAATAATAAAATGAAAATACCTAAAGTCACTCAAGTATTATAGAAAACATTATTTATATTTTTGTTATTACCTATGTACTTTCATATTGCATTTCCCTGCATTTCTCTAGAAGTAACTACTATTCTGAAGTTTTGTGTTAATCAGTGTCTTGTTTTTCTTTATAATTTTCTTATATATGTGTGTGTGTTTGTATATGTGTGTATCCCCATAGTGTATACCTTTCTGGTTTTAAAATTTTATGTAAATGGAATCCTTCTATATATTTTCTATAAAGTGATCTGTTGTTCAACAGTATGTTGAGATTCTCTGTTACAAATAACTGTAGTTTGGGGCGCCTGGGTGGCTCAGTTGTTAAGCATCTGCCTTCGGCTCAGGTTGGGATCCCAGTTCTGGGATCGAGCCCCGAGTCAGGCTCCCTGCTCCTCGGGGAGCCTGCTTCTCCCTCTTCCACTCCCTCTGTTGTGTTCCCTCTCTCCCTGTGTCTCTGTCAAATAAATAAATAAAATCTTCAAAAAAAAAATAACAACAACAGGGGCGCTTGGGTGGCTCAGTGGTTTAAGCCGCTGCCTTTGGCTCAGGTCATGATCTCAGGGTCCTGGGATCGAATCCCACATCGGGCTCTCTGCTCAGCAGGGAGCCTGCTTCCCTCCCTCTCTCTGCCTGCCTCTCTGTCTACTTGTGATCTCTCTCTGTCAAATAAATAAATAAAAAATCTTTAAAAAAAAATAACAAATAGCTGTAGTTCATTAATTGTTCCGTGAAATATAGGATTCAATTATGCGGATATATCATACTCCAATTTATTTAGCCATTATCCTTTTGGTGGACATTTGGGCTGTGTTTAATTTTTTACATTTCAAACATCAATGCTGTAAATATCCTTGTACGTGTCTCCTGGAAGACATTTATACTTTCTTATACAGACTTCTAAAACATATTTTTTGTGATTGGTGTGTGTGTGTGTGTGTGTGTGTGTAGCACAAACCAATTTGATTTTTCTCAAATACGTGTTTTTTAATTGGGTAGGCCAGATTGGCAGTTTAAGAAGTAAAATGCATGATTAGTTTTTTTGAGTGCTAGAGAATTCATGTAATGATTATCCCTAAGTTGAAATTCATTTACATGAGAAAATATGTTTGATGGGTTTGTTTCTATTTTTATTCCTAATAATATCCAGTTGAAAAATTTACCCATTGAGCCAAATTTGTTTATTTTGCTATTTCATTTATTAATATAACTCATATTGGGGTAGAACTCTACAGTTTATAAGACAATTTTACATACTCTATTCTGCTTGAGCTTCACAGACATCTGTGGAAGTATTATTAAATATTAAGGTATTATTAATTACTCCCTTTTTCTAGATGCATCAGCTAAGGCTCCACCAGATTAACAGACTTGCCCAGATTCCAACTCCATTACCACTCTGAATCTATATGATAGATATCATTAATATTTTGTGTATACCTTTTTGTAGGTATAGTACACCAATGTGCTATTTCTTGAGAACACTGACTGAAGCTTAATTTTTTTCCACAGTTCCATCTCTCTTATGCAGAGAAAGAATTGTTGGAGAGAGAGCCGAGAGGAGAAGCCCATCAGGAAGTTCTTAGGCGAGCCGCCAAAGATCTTCCCATCTATACCAGGACCATGTCTGGAGGTACACCAGAATGAGTGCTTTGGCACCATTGTTGTGGTGACTGTCAGCGTATTTATATGCTTGCAAATGTCAAACCCTCATTGAAAATCATTGGGTTCTGTCTTGGGTGGTTATTAAATCTTTCCTACACAATTCCATAAAACAGGCTTATGAATAACAGTGTGGCACGGAGATCTCAACCATATCCACACTGACGTTTATTCTCTTGTGGCTTCTCTAGTCACTTACTTGGGACTCAGAGGAGATGTTAGAACTGCTGAAATCTTGATTTGTACTTGTATTGATTTTTAAAGTTTTAATGATCTTCCTATTCTTTTTTAATGGAAGGGAGCAGTATCTATAATGAATATAACATTGGCAATTTTACATAAATTTAAAGCAGTCATTGTATAAAGTGTATAAAACTTAAGGTAGTAATATAATTTATCTTTAGAAGGTAAGGTAATTTTCATTTCTCCCCCCTGCTTTTTTTTTTTTTTTTTAATGTAATTCAGTTAATAAATCCCTTTTACCTGGGTCAGGATTTTTTTAGGTAGTGTATCAGCTATCTAATTAAAGAATTGTCTTTAAAATGAACACACACAGACTACTGATATTTGTCCACCAAGGCTCACCCAGAAATTTGGTAACTTTAGGCCTGTGCCACCCACTTTGGTGGCACATTTTAAGCGGCTTTTGAGCACTTAAAATGTGGCCACTCCAAATTGCGTTGTGCCATACGTATAAAATACACAACTGGTTTCAAAGATCTAGCATGGAAAAAAGAATGTAAAATATCTCATTAATATTCTTGTATTACTTATCCTTGTTTCTTAACTCACTTGAGGATCATAATTGAATCTAAGTTAAAGTCTCAGTTTCTTCCTGTTTGTTTTCCCTGCTTCTCAATGGGCAAGTGGCAATTCCCTGATTTAATTTTCATGCCACCAGTTCCATCCCACAAAGACAGAGCTGTGCTTATACATGTTTATGTATGTTGACCCTATATAAGCCTAGGCAAATATTGAGGAGATTTAAGCCCCTTAAAAATAAATTCCTGCACAGGTTTCCAAAACTAGTTAATGACCATGACAGTATCAGGTATGAAAAACTAGTCTCCATAATCATTCTGAGTTCAGGGCTCTTCTACTCTCTCCCTTGACACACTGGATTTGGAGAAAGGGAGGAAGCATAAGTCACATCATAACTAAGTATTCATTTCCATTAATAATAACTACACTTTGGATTTAAAAGTCACCCTTCATGTAGTTTATGTAATGTTAAGACTGTCAGTCTCTTGTTCCTCTTAGGTATTGGATCCCTATCTCCTGAGATGAATTTAGGGTTCTTAAGATTTGTGACAGTGTGGCATATAATCTGGGTCTCGTAATATAATCTGTGTTTATATCTTTAGTTCAAACATTCCAGATGCCTGCAAACTCAATGTTAACTGACCAGAGTCACTGACTAAATTAAAGCAGACACAAAGTGTAATAAATAGATTATGTTGGTCTGATTGATCCCCCTATGGACTGTGTAGAGTGCAGAGGTAAACACAAGGCAGTGACCACAATCCCACCAAGGCAGGACTGTGAGAGAGGTGCTTCCCACCTCCCACCCAGCCAAGACCCTTGGGTTCTTTGGAAAACTACCTTCCTCACCCTGAGAAATTCTGTGGACCAGAGCAACTGAACAGTTCAGGTGATGTGCATGTGCACTGTATTTTATAGAGAGAACTGAACAAAGTGGATAGTAATATAACTTAAGATTTTACGATCCATTCTAAGTAGGAAGTACAGTACTTCCTCCAAACCCAAGAGAGAAGAATGTCAGCTCCCTAGATTAAGGTGGTACTGCCCTACAGGGGAAAATTCATATACACACCTGAGCTTGGGGCATAGTAAAGCAGGGTATTAACAAGTCTGCTCATCTTGCCTGTTTGTCCCGAACTTTCTTCTGATCCAGCCATCTTCTGCTTTCTTACAGGGATCGTAAAACTTTATCATATTGTTTTGGATTTTTGTTCTTATTAATTTTTAGCTCTGTGTTGGCCTTGATCTTTTTGTACAATTTTTTTTTTTTTTTTGGATTTTGACTAATAGGTAACAGCCAGAGGTGATGGAGCCTATCATTTTGCACACAGAAATTAATAATGTTTTCTTTTCAACATTACCCAAAAGGTTTTAAATTACATAAGTAATATTTGAATAAACACTGAAAAAATTAAAACAAGGCAGTTAAAATTTGCCTTGACTATTCGGAGCTTTTAAATGATAAACAGGTGGTTCATTTTAAATTACAGCGGGATAATTTTAGTCGAATATGATATGGCACATGGAAATTTTTTTTTAGTTTTTATTTTATTCATCTGGTGCTCATTATGACAAGTGCCCTCCTTAATCCTTATCACCTATTACCCACCCCCCCCACACCTTTCTCTGGTAACCATCAGTTTGTTTTCTATAGTTAAGAGTCTGTTTCTTGGTTTGTTTCTTTCTCTTTTTTCCTTTTTGCCTTTATCCATTTGTTTTGTTTCTTAAATTCCACATATGAGTGAAATCATATGGTATTTGTCTTTCTCTGACTTAAACTTAGCATAATATACTCTAGCTCCATCCATGTCTTTGCAATTGGCAAGATTTCATTCTTTTTTATGGCTGAGTAATATTCCATTGTGTATATATGTGTAGCACAATATTTTTATCCATTCATCAGTCGATGGGCATGTGCACTGCTTCTGTATCTTGGCTATTGTAAATAATGGTCCTGTAAACATAGGGTGCATGTATCCCTTTGAATTAGTGTTTTCGTATTCTTTTTTTTTTTTTTAAGATTTTATTTAATTATTTGTCAGAGAGAGAGAGGGAGAGAGAGCAAGCACAGGCAGACAGAATGGCAGGCAGAGGCAGAGGGAGAAGCAGGCTCCCCGATGAGCAAGGAGCCCGATGTGGGACTCGATCCCAGGACGCCGGGATCATGACCTGAGCCGAAGACAGCCGCCCAACCAACTGAGCCACCCAGGTGTCCCATGTTTTCGTATTCTTTAGAGTATATATCCAGTAGTGCGATTGCTGGATGGTAGAGTAATTCTATTTTTAACTTTTTGAGGAACAGTTCCATCTGTTTTTCACAGTGGCCGCACCAGTTTGCATTCCCACCCACAGTGCACAATGGTTCCCCTTTCTCCACATTCTCACCAACACCTGTTGTTTCTGTTGTCTATGTTAGTCATTTTGACAGGTGTGTGAGGTAATGTCTCATTGTGGTTTTAATTTGCATTTCCCTGATAGTAAGTGATGAGGAGCATCCTTTGATGTGTCTGTTGGCTTTCTGGATGTCTTCTTTGGAGAAATTTCTGTTCATATTTTTTGCCCATTTTTTAATTGGATTATTTGTATTTTGGGTGTTGATTTATAGAAGTTCTTTATATATCTTGGATACTAAACCTTTATCAGATATGTCATTTACAAATATCTTCCTCCATACTGTAGGTTGCCCTACTGTTGATTATTTCTTTCACTGTGCAGAAGTTTTTATTTTGATGTAGTCCAATAGTTTATTTTTGCTTTTGTTCCCCTTGCCTCAGGGACCTATCTAAAAAAAAGCTGCTATGGTCGATGTCAGAGAAATTACTGCCTGTGGTCTCTTTTATCATTTTTATGGTTTCCTGCCTTATATTTAGGTCTTTAATCCATTTTGAGTTTATTTTTGTGTATGATAGAAGAAAAGAGTCCAGTTTCTTTCTTTTGCTTGTTGTCCAGTTTTCCCAACACCATTTGTTGAACAGACTGTCTTTTCCCCATTTCATATTCTTGCCTTCTTTGTCATACATTAGTTGATGACATAATTGTGGGTTTATTTCTGGGTTTTCTATTCTTCTCCATTGATCTATTTGTCTATTTTTGTGCCAGTACCGTACTGTTTTGATTACTACAGCTTTGCAATATAACAAGAAGTGTGGTGCTGTGATGCCTCCAGCTTTGCTTTTCTTTTCCAAGATTGGTTTGGCTATTCACATATTTTGTAGTTCCATACAAATTTTAGGATTGTTTGTTCTAGTTCTGTGAAACATGCTGTTTTTATTTTGATAGGAATTGCATCAAATATGTAGATTACTTTGGGCAGTATAGACATTTCAACACTGTTCTTCTAACCCATGAGCATGGATGTCTTTCTATTTCTTCATGTCATCACTTTCTCTCAGCAGTGTTTTAATAATTTTCAGAATACAGGTGTTTCACTTCTTTGGTTAGGTTTTTTCTTAGTTATCTTATTATTTTTGGTGCAATTGTAAATGGAATTGTGGGGGTTGTTTTGTTTTGTTTTTACTAAGAGACTAAATTTCTGTTTATGAAAGACTATAAACAAAAAGTTTCTTTCTACTGTGTTTTGATTTCCTGTGAGTTATTACCCACTTTGATTTGTGAAGGTTTTTTTTGTTTTTGTTGTTGTTTTGTTTTTACCCCAGTGTGCTTTATTTTTTTTTATAAATTTAACCAATTTTTTAAAAGATTTTATTTATTTATTTGACAGAGAGAGAGATCACAAGTAGGCAGAGAGGCAGGCAGAGAGAGAGAGAGAAGCAGACTCCCTGCTGAGCAGAGAGCCTGATGCGGGGCTCAATCCCAGGACCCTGAGATCATGACCTGAGCTGAAGGCAGAGGCTTAACCCAATGAGCCACTCAGGCGCCCCAACCCCAGTGTGCTCTAAAGTAGAGATAATCACCATCTGGAGAGAATCTAGCATTGCCTACCAAACTCACCACTTAAAGTGCAACCATAAAGCAATATATAGTAGTTTTCAAAGACTTGGTATAAAAAATGTAAAACATGTGATTAATGTTTGTGTATTAATTACATGTTGAAGTAATATTTTTGATATATTAGTTCAAATATTATGTTTTTTAAAAATTAATTTCCCTGTTTCTTTTTATTTTTATAATATAGCTCCTAGAGAATCTAAACATACACATGTGGCTCACATTCTATTTCTTCTGGATAATACTGCCTTACACTTTAATGCTTCACATGAGCCAATGGTACCATGTCGCTTTCCCTGGAATGTAGCTGCAAGACGTCTTCATTCAGGATATGACTCAGCCATGCCATTAGTTTCTGTAGTTCCTGAAAAAGGAGAGTTGTAAGGGGGATGATTGAGAACTTATTTGAATATTGAAAACAATTCCATATAGGTCTTGTTGTCTGAAAAAAGCTCATCCTAATCTTAGTTGATAGCAACTGTTGCCTTTTTCAGAGAACATGATATTAGCTACTATAACAGTAGAAATTACTTGTTGCAAGTACTTTTTCCAAATTTTAAATTCATTACTTGGGTTTTTGCTGATCCCGTGGTGTACCTAATTACTGTTCTCCTATAATTTTGGTAGGTTGCTTGCATCTTGTAAGATGTCTGTGTAATGAAATAACTTCTCCAAATCAGACATCTGTAATTGCCTTTGATATCTGTGTTAGAGAAGAAAGGATCAGGACTTGCATTACAAGAATTAAAATTCAGTGTTGGAAATAACTTCTTCTAATACTCCTTTTTTTTTTTTTTTAAGATTTTATTTATTTATTTGACACAGAGAGAGAGAGATCACAAGCAGGCGGAGAGACAGGCAGAGAGAAAGGAGGAAGCAGGCTCTCTGCTGAGAGAGACCCAGATGCGGGGCTCGATCCCAGGACCCTCAGACCATGATCTGAGCCAAAGGCAGAGGCTTAACCCATTGAGCTACCCAGGCACCCCCTAATACTCACTTTTAATCTTGTATCAGCCAACAGAATTTAAGCAACTAATAGAGTTTATTCACAATTCAAATTTCTAAAGTGTGTTTCTCATAAAAGTGGTAAAATGTGGTTGTATCTTCAGATTTTTTTCCTGGTAGAGTACAGGAAAGAAATTGATTTACCTGAGGGAGACATTCTGTTTGCTTTGATAGAAATGGACATATTTGCACCCTCTGTGAGCCTCACTATCATTACTGACAATTAGGAATGCCTTAGAAAAATTCCCCCCAAAGATTCTGTATTCCTGAGAAAATTTTTAGAAAACTGAGGCTGGGGGCATCTGGTTGGCTCAGTCAGAGCAGTGAGTGACTCTTGATCTCAGAGTCATGAGTCTGAGTCCCATGTTGGGTGTAGAGATTAAAAAAAGAAAGAAAAAGAGGTAGGAAAGAAGGAAGGAAGAAAGGAAGAAAAAAAGAAAGAAAACTAAGGCTGTAGGCAAGTCATTCTATTTTTATATTTACACAGTAGACTATCTCATTTTTATCAAATTCAAATTCACTTTGCTTTTTTAGAAGTTAAATTTGGAGAGCTGATAAAAGCCATTTAATTGTATATCCAATTCAGTGTTAAATCTAAGACTAAGTGGAGTTTTTTGTCCCTAGCAATCCGATATTGTGACAGATGTCAACTCATAAAACCAGACCGCTGCCATCACTGTTCCGTCTGTGATAAGTAAGAAAACCTTTTCCTTCCAACTCTCTACATGCTGGTGCTCTTTTTAGTTAATATTGTTTCTTTCCTCACTATTTTCCAGATTATTTCCTTTTTTCCCTTAATTGTGCTTCTGAGACCTTTATTTAGGACATAGGACCGGACAGTCCCTTGCATTGATATGAGTGGGGCTTAGGGCCACTGTCGCCTAATTGCCCCTTTTCCCCAGATTCACACTGACTTGAAGAAGTGTCTGAGTTTGGGCAGCTCAGACTTGGCTAGTTCTGTTTACTAAATACTCCTGTGACTCTGTTTTTACCTTTATAAAGAGAGCTCATAAGACTTCACGATAATCAGATATTGTTAGGTACTTATATACCACAAGGACTGTGCTACTTAGCTTAAAGATTGATGTTAAAGGTAAAGTTTTATCCAGACTTTCCATAAGTCTGTTGGCATTTTGCATTTTCTTCAGCATAAGGTAGTTGTGTGTTAATATTGAATTGTTTTTTAGGAAATGAGTTTTCTTATTTCTATTTTGAAGCATGTAGATTTTGAAAATTCTATAATTATATGTCATAACTGACATTGACTATAGTGGTTATTTGTTTAATTTTTAGATAAGTAATTTTGCAATATTTTACTTGCCTCAACTCCTTCTAAGTAACTTTCATACTTCCTTTTTATACTTAATGGGATTCAAATTTTATGAGGTGTTAAGTTTTGTGTGTGTGTGTGTGTGTTTATTTTTTTAGATGTATTTTGAAGATGGACCATCATTGCCCGTGGTGAGTATGGCTGTATACTTAAACACGTTTCTGTCCCTTAAAACTTAATAAATTGAATCATTTATCTGTGTAAGTCTTTTTATAAATGAAATCTTGCCTTAGCTGACCCAGAAAGTACTTTCAGATTTAGTTTCTAGTATTTGCTGAATTAGCTCAAAAGAGGTTTTATTTGGGAGAATTTTCATAGAATAATTTTAAAACCGGTAGACTAACAACATAGAAGTTAATTTGTCATATTTGCCTAGGACAAATGGCTTTCTTTGTATGCACATGCATAAACACAGAGATTCTGAAACACTTCCCAGAAATTATACCAAAATGTATTCATAAATTATACACAGTACTTCACTGGAAGTTTTGAATAACGAATTAATTCATCTTAAGCTTTAGCAATTTATTTTAAATAAAACTTGACATTGAGCACAGAATAGCAAATACACAAATACATATGTGTTTAAACAAGGGTTTTCACTTGGAACTCATTAATATTTTAAAAGATAATTTTAGATCAGGCACCTTAACAGAGGATGATTTAAAAGCGCTAATTAACTAATGAAGGTTGATTTTTCTACCTTTGCCTGTAATTTCTCTTCTCCACGTGCACATATCAGTGACAACTACGCTCAGGTTGCCAGCCAGGCTGGATTTGGACGCTAGGTGTGATGACTCGACCAGCCTTGCCTTCTTTCACGGGTGGCCCTAGAGAAAAGCAGACATGCTCACAAATGAGTGCTGGGTGTAGGTGGAAACACAGGGAATAATTATGTTAGCTGCAGGAAATAATAGGTGCATGTCAGATTTACCTTATTTTTTCTCTCTAGATACCTCTTCCTTTTCTCCTGCTGTATTTTCTTCTTTATTTCAGGCCAGTTAATTCCTGTCAGAGTAATTTTCTCCTTAAAGAAAGATCTCAATGAAAGCCTCACTTGGTATTAATAGTCATTTGTAGCCATTCTTTTGCTTTATCTTTTGCTTTACTCATGCTTTCAATCATTCCGTTTTCTCTCACAGCAGGTAGCCGCCCCCCACCCCCAATATCTTCTATTAAAAGTTTTCTTAATCCTCCTTACATTCCTCTATTGATGCGGACAGTTCCGCACCCCTAGGGGCTCCCTGACTCAGGCCCCACTGTTTCTTTCCTTCTCTGCCTGAGGGTTCTCTTTTCCACCTGAGGAGGCTGGGGCCCCTGGTAAGCCGGGCAGCCCAGGGGTGCCAGGGTGCAGATGCTTCCAGAGGCCACCCTCAACCAACAAGGGTCTGGCCAACAACACATGCCTTATGGGCTTTTCTCCCCTCCTTGTTTCAGATAAACTGTATCCAGGTTCTTGTCTCACGGTCTGCTCTCGGGGGAACGCATGCAAAGACGCCCTTCTTTTCTGAAGGAAAGTGGAAAAGAAATCAGGGCCATAGAGATGACTTCAATTTTTCTGACTTAAAGTCATAGCAGATGATGATGATAAGGAACGGAGAAGGGTAACAACCAGTATTAATGCCAAGCTTTACACCTCCCTATAGCGTGACGTGCTCTTGCTAGCCTCACTAAAGCACAAAAATAAGAAATAATAATTCACTCTGATAGCAAACTTTTTACATCTGCCATTAATTTGCCTTTATAAGAGACTTACAGCATAATTTGACATCTTTCAGATTTTGACAGATCCTGTTGAATAAGCGAAGGGGAACAGATAGAAGGCTCTAGAGGTTTTAAAACCGGGTGTAGATTGTGTAATCATAGGCTCCCTGTTAGCACACTTGCTCTTTAGGGCAATGTGGGAGTTGTTGAATGAAAGTACCTTTCAACTTCGTGTCATTGCTTCCCTGCCCTGGGGCGTTTTCTGCTGCAACTGCCACCACAGCCTCTGTCTCGGCTCCCACGGGCCCTTGCAGAAGGCAGTAAGCCAGGTGGATAATGGAAGGGTTTGGTGCCGAGGGCCTCATGTTCACCTGGTGCCCACTGAGTGGAGCAGCCGTTTTATTTATGTGTTTGAATTTTCAAGTTTAAACTTTAAGTTAAAAAAAATTATGCGTAATATATACACATGGTTCTAAATTCAAAAACTAAAAAAGGGCAAGCGTTCTTTCTAGCCCCCCTGCTGCTGCTTCTCTTCCTCACAAGGAACATACTGCCAAATTCATGTGTACTTTTCAGATATAAGTGTGTACGTGTGTGTTACATGTTTTTCACACACACAAATATTTTACACATTTTTTAACACAAGTGGTTCTGTTGGGTCCGTGGTCAAAGGAACGAGACTGATACAGAGCGAAGGTCAAGCAAAGCTTTATTTCATGCCAAGCATCGAGAATCAAACTGACCGGCCAGGGCCGTCTCTTACAAAGAGGTGACCTCTCTCTGCCTTACAGACTAGCTTTTAAGGGCAAAGGCCATGTGGTTGGGCCTGGCCACGCACAGATGGCCAATGAGATTGTAACACACAGAGAAAGCTGCACAGTCCTGCTAGGTCACACATAAGTGACCAATTAAATTACAATTTACCCTATAGTAGATATTTGAACTAGCCTATCACCTTGGTCAGAATGGGCGCCCTAAAGGCACCCAAAGGGCAGGGCTCATACTCCTTGGTAGCTAGGGAGACAGTATGCGCCCCCACTGATTGGATGTCTCCACCTGGCCTGACCCACCCTTGTATTTGGGCTTTGTTACCTGGGACTGGTTTCCGGGACTTGCTTTTAAGTAAGTTCCCTGGGGGGAAGGGGGCCCAGGACAGTTTAAGTTTTACTGCATAAACAACAAAATCACTGTTTAACTGGATGGAATCACTCTGGCTGAATAAGCCCTTACAGTTCCACTATGGACTGACTCTGTATCTTTTTCTTTCCCCTCTTAATATATCCTGGAAAATTGTCCATATCAAGATATAAATAATCTTTTTCGTAGCCATTATGTCACTATAACAGTCTTTTATTAAAAGATCTTCAAGGTGTTCCCAAACTGTGGGGTAACATTATGCAGGTCTTGTGTATAATTTTGAAGTTCAGTACCTGTCAACTTTGAGTATTTGAAAAAGCAGAAAACTGTGCTTCCTTGTCAGTGGCTCCATCGTATCTGCTGAGACCAGTTAAACTACCCATCTGGGAGCAGGGGACTGACCTCACGCTGGTGTTTTAACTGAAATGGAAATCCTGTAGTATTTGCTTTATTGGGTTTCTCTTCAAAGAGTTTTTCCTTTAATATAAAATTTTCATTCATTAATTAATTACATTAATGATATGTTTTGACATGCTCGCCAAAGATTAGATAACACTTACCAAATCCAATAATTTTAGCTTCATACTGAGTGCCTATAATGTGCTAAAAACTATATATGTGTGAAAAATTTGTAATTCTTATAAAAGTGACAGAAATTGTAGAAATTATTTGTCCCATTTTAAAGAGGAGAGGGAAGTAGAGCTCAGAAAAGCTAAAGAATGGCTTAACGTCACATGGCATGTTTTTTGGACTCCAAAGGCTACATTCTTTTCTTCTTTTTTTTTTTCCCTTTATTGTGTTCTTTTTCCCATTTAGAATCAGAAAGCAGTTGCCCTGAAACAGGGCCAGTTGCTGTTTGCACTGAATTTTTAAAAATTTTTTTAGAAGATTTCATCTATTTATTTGAGAGAGAGAGGAAGAAAGAGTATCAGGGGAGGAGGGGTGGAGGGAAGGGGAGAAGCAGGCTCCCCGCCCAGTAGGGAGCCCTAGAGCAGGGAGCCCTATCCAGGGCTGGATCCCAGGACCCTAGGACCATGATCTGAGCCAAAAGCAGACGCCCAACCTACTGAGCCGCCCAGGCGCCCCTATTTGCACTGAATTTTAGACAGCATATAAGGAGTATTTACCTTGAGCATGTTTTATTTCTCCATATAAAAGCATTCAAACTCAGAATACATCTCTTCCTTTTCAAATGGAGTCTATAAAACTGTAGGGAGTTAAAACATTTCACCTGTATGAAGAGACATTTTCTTACTATATTTCTTAAAGTGTGAAGTACATATCAAACTCTAAGATACTTGGTTTTTATTTACTGACTTTATTTTCTGTTTCCCAAGTGACAGATAAGGTTACATTACACCATGCTCCTAGATAGACATTAAAGTAAATTAGATGTCACGAAATCTATACTCAAAATCATTTTACTTTTTATAAACATGCTATGTGTCATCTCATACAAAAGCTCTTTCTTACATTCCCGTAGAAAGAGAAACAATCTTTCTTATCCCTTATTTTCCTCCAGTCCATAAAAGTCATTGTCTTCAGCCCGCTCGCCCAAGGTTACGTATGGCTCCCCACCTTCTGTCTATGCATTCTCTCCTCTGGAAACCAACCCAAGCAAGCGAAGGGAATATCCTGTATCCTTTGGAGACAGAATGCATTTAGACTAGGCTTGTTTGGAATTATGTAGTTTAATTTCTTGCCATTATTTCATTCAGATGTCATTCATTCAGGCAACCTCAGTAACTGGTTTGCACTCATACTAGAATCGTCACTGTTTTCATATCACACGTACCTACAATTTCTGCCTTCTTTATGAGCTTATTTGCCATATAAAATGCCCTTACGTTCCAAAGTTACTGAATCTAATCCCGGTCCCTTTACCTTATTTATTTATTTATTTATTTATTTGTTTGTTTGTTTGAGGTAGATGATGCAGGCACTTTTCTTTTTCCCCCAGATTTTCAGTATATTCATAAGCCAGATAAATGTCTACCTTTTCAATTTTTTTAATTAAAAAATTTTTTTAGGGGCACCTGGATGGCTCAGTCATTAAGCGTCTGCCTTTGGCTCAGGTCATGATCCCAGGGTCCTGGGATCTAGCCCTACATCGGTCTCCCTGCTTGGCGGGAGTCTTGCTTCTTCCTCTCCCACTCCTTTGCTTGAGTTTCCTCTCTTGCCGTCTCTCTCTCTGTCAAATAAATAAATAAAATATTTTAAAAAATTCTTTTACTGTGGGCGCACTTACATGACACTTACTCTCTCCACAAATTTTTTTAAATTGATGTATAATGTATTATTTGTTTCAGGGGCACAGGCAAATTTTTAAGTGCACACTATTGTTAACAATGGGCACAGTGTCATGCAGACTTCTGGAGCTCATTTATCTTGCATGGTTGAGTAAACATTTTTCATGTGTACATTCACTTTAAAAATCTAAAAAGAAGAATGTCTCAGTTTATTAGCAAAGTCAATAGAGACTGAGATTACCTTGCTAACATTAGAGTAAGACAAAGAAGTTTGAGGAGTATGTGTATGTTCTATGCAATAGACATATTACGCCAGTTACCACAATTACCTCAGCCGTGAAGACACCCGCCATTTCCACTTAGGTGTTGTGTCACGTGCACAAGCTCAGCCTGAAATTTCATAGTCTTTATCAAAAGGCAAAAAAAATTTTTTTGATAGAAAAGTGTGACTGTAAAGTGTGTTATATTTGTATTTATGCCTTTTGATATGATAGTTTGAATTCTTACTCCCCCCTCTCCAAAATATAATAACTTTAGAGTGAGAACTGAGAATTATAGATCTCCCCGTTTAGAATCAAAGGATATAGAGCCAGCTGTCTGGATTGTTTGTTTTGTGATAAGGAAAATGAAATCCCTATAGACTATTTTGCTTGATCAAGGCCACATGATTATTGAGTGTTAGATGCACATTATGACTCTCACTGTCTGGATCTCAATCCTATTTTTTTTCTTAAACGTCCCCTGGATAATCTGGTTGCTTCAGTAATATGCTGATGGCATTCAAGTAGTTTACAAAGTTATTTCATCTAATTTGGGGAAATCTGGAAGATTTTAAATTACCCAGTCATAGTTAGAAATCATATCCCGGACGCCTGGGTGGCTCAGTGGGTTAAGCCTCTGCCTTCAGCTCAGGTCATGGTCTCAGCATCCTGGGATCAAGCCCCGCATCGGGTTCTCTGCTCGGTGGGGAGCCTGCTTCCTCCTCTCTCTCTGTGCCTGCCTCTCTGCGTACTTGTGATCTCTCTCTCTGTCAAATAAATAAATAAAATAAAATAAAATCATATCCAAAGGTAACAAAGAACTTAATAAATTTTTATCTGCCTGACTTCATTAGTTTTCTCACCAGCTCTGTGTTTTTAGGTATGTGCCTATTTACATAATTGGACATGAAATATAGTTATGTGGTTCATGGTCGATTAAAGCAGTATCACATATCAAACTTAAAAAGCTAAACACAAGTTCCTTTTTTAGTGAAATGGATTTTTTTAATGTTTGTATGTGAAAAGAAATGTTACGAGTCTTGCTTAAAGAAATGCCAATAAATTTTAAAGGAGAGGAAACCGAATAGTGTTAAATATGAGCATATGCAGACTGTAGGTGAAAAGTGTACAACTCACTGAGAAGTTGTTTTTGTTTTGTTAACAGGGTGAACAATTGTGTTGGATTTTCAAATTATAAATTTTTCCTCCTTTTCTTGGCTTATTCTCTGCTCTACTGCCTTTTTATTGCTGCTACGGACTTGCAGTATTTTATCAAATTTTGGACAGTAAGTCAATACCTTGGTGATTTTTTTCTGGTATACAAAAATATATAATAGATTTTCAGTAATTGAGTTATTTCAGATACTTATTTTATAGACTAGAGTTCATTTAAATATGTAGTCAATCCTCACTGTTCACAGATTCTGTGTTTGTGAATTCTCTTACTTGCTGAAACACATTTGTAATCCCCAAATCAGTGCTCACAGAGCTTTTGTGATCCTTTGCAGACGTGCACAGTGTGGGAAAAACTTGACCCGCTCATGTGCACGTTCCCAGCTGAGATCAAACAAGGCCACCACATATTGCCTTCTTGTTTGCTCTTCTTGGTCTCTCATTACTATAAACAAGTATGCTTTCAGTCTGTTTAGTGTCACATTTTTTGCATTTTTTGTACTTTTTGTTGATGATTTTGCTATTTAAAATGGTCTCCATGCACAGCACTGAAGTGCTTCCTGGTGTTCCTGAGCAAAAGAAGACCGTAATGTACCTTATGGAGAAAATACATGAGTTAGGTAAGCTTCCTGCAGGCACGAGTTACACTGCTTATTGGCTCTAAGTACTGAATCAACAATGTATATTAAGTAAGATGTCAATACAGTGTTTTTTTTTAGCAGAAGCACACGTAAGACAGGGTTGAGTATTGATTAGTTGTGACTGGAGGCTCATAGGAGCCTAAGCCTGTATTTTCCCTGGGGCGGTGGTTCCATATTTACAAATTCAGTGTTCATGGCACCTTTATAGAACATGGCCACTGTGAGTAATGAGAATTGACTATATTTGAAGTTTTCTTTTCAGTATTTAAAAAATGAAGTGGTTTTTTTTTGTGTGTATAAAGACTGTATTTTGGAACAATTATGTCTATAAAATCCTGAGTTTTTACTAGGTATTGCTTGGTTAGGCTTTGAGTAGTTCATTTGTTTTTTGGGATATATATTTTAAATGTAAGCAAAACAAAATTAAAATCAAGTATTATAAATATCCAAAGATACTCCTTGTGGACCCCAAACAATGGTAAAAAACAAACAAAACAAACAAATAAGCGGTTATCCCAGGTCAGGATTTCTTTATTGTTTTATTAAATTATCCTTTATTATGGTAAGAACTTTCTAAATTCCTAGATAATTTAGGTCAGATTTGGACCACATTGAATACTAAAGATTTACTGAATGCCTTTCTGTGCCAGTTACCTTGCCAAGCCCCGGAAATATACAGGTATATGGACTTGCTGCTAGCGTTCAGGAATACCTCAGTGTCCAGCACGAAGAATGATCCCTAATGAAGGTCGAAAAGGATATTACCTCACTGCTTCTCATTCCTGGGGATGGTTTTAGTTCCAAACCATAAATATGTATGTAAAGGAATGACCAGTCCAGTTGTCACTGTGAGAATTCTGTCAGAAGCTATGAGTGAGAGCTGGTGACCTCTGTCAGCAGAGAATATTGAAATAGTATGACCTTCCTATCAGAAGGGGACACCTGCTAGCAGCTCTGGTGCTTTACTAAGTGTCCATAGTGCAAGCCTGCCATTCTAGAATGGGTTCCCGTCTCCTTGGACAATACATACAATAAAACTGGCTTTGCTTTGAGAAAGCCTGTTCTGTTACCTGGATATTGTAAGGTTTGTTTTAGATCATTGTTATGCACTAGTGTTGATCTTTCCTGTGATGCTATTATTTAAAATAGCTTGAAGCATTATTGTGTATGTGTTGTTGTATGTGTTCTTGTAGTTGATGCTGTTGTTTGTAGTAATGTTAAAACATCAATAAGTATAGTAACTAATTGTGCCAATTAACCTTCATTTTCAGGCATTATAATAAAACTATTTAAACATTTGTAAAGCTATAGTGTGTTAACAAAACATTTTCAGGAAGTAAATTAAAAATTATATTTTATAGTTCCTTTTATCTTGCTTCCTAGTGTTATAGTTTACACATGTACTACTATAATTTTTCTATGATTCAGTTATGAAAAACAAAATAAATATCCCAAATTTTAATATTTTTATATCTGTATTCATTAATAGTAAACATTTTTAATCTTACATCATACATTTTTCCTCAAAGTTTTAACGTAAAGCCATGTATCTTTCTCCATATCTAAATTTCAAAAAAAAGTAGAGCAAAAAAAATTTCTTACTTACAAAGTAGGGAATATTTATCCCTTTGACAAAACATTTTATTTTCTTCCTTTCTTTATAGAATGGCCTACCCGATACTCAAGCCAAGTTCCATATTATGTTTTTATTCTTTGCTGCAGCTATGTTTTCTGTCAGCTTGTCCTCTCTGTTTGGCTATCATTGTTGGCTAGTCAGCAAAAATAAATCTACATTAGGTGAGTATTCAATTATTGTAGTTAACAGAACTTTAAAGACATAAATAGATACTCAGCAAAAGTTGCCATATGATTAAATGCCAACCCGTCCTGATGTGGTAAATATCATTTTTATTTCACATACTGTTTTGTGGGGTGGCAACAGACACCTACAAATGCAGTTGTTCTGTATATTTATTGACTGTCCATTGTGTGTAAAGCATTGTGTATATACGGTGGTGAACAAGGGCAAAATAGTCTAGTGAGGGACACAAAAAATCAATAACCAAACATAAAAGTAATTGCAAAATGCAGAGTGCTATCTGGGAAACAAATGGGATACTGAGCTGTGAATCAAGGACTGGGGACTGTGGAAGGAAACCTAGTTAGAGTGGTCAGGAAGGAGCTCACCAAAACAACAAGTATTAAACCTTAGAAGTCAGTCACGGTAAAAACTGTAACATCTCAGGGGGGGAAAGAGTATGTTCAAAAGCCCTACAGACATGGGACGCAGCTACAACAGTGTTCAGTGGAAAGGTATACCTAGCTATAAATGATTCTGTTAAAAAAGAAGTAGGTCAAATCGATTACTTTATAGCTTAAGGAAGTACAAAAAGAACAGCAAAGTAAATCTGAAGCCAGCAAATGGTAGCAAATAATAAAGATTAGAAAGGAGATAACAGAAATAGAGAATTTAAAAAGCAAAAGTTCATGGGGTGCCTGGGTTGGCGCAGTTGGTTAAGCATCAGACTCTTGGTTTGGGCTCAGGTCATGATCTCAGGGTCCTGGGATTCAGCCCAGAGTTGGAGTCAGGCTCCCTGCTCAGTGGGGAGCCTGCTTGTCTCCCTCTCCCTCTGCCACTCCCTCTTCTCTCTCTCTCTCACACAGAAATAATCTTAAAAAAAAAAAAACAAAAACCTGAACAGACTTGTAACAAGGAAGGAGATTGAATCAGTAATCAAAAATCTTCCAACAAAGAAAAGCCCAGGACCAGATGGCTTCGCTGATGAGTTCTACCAAAAAAAAATTAACATAAAATTTTCTCAAACTCTGTCAGAGATTAGAAGAGAGGATAACACTTTGTAACTCATTCTATGAGGCCAGCATCGGTCTAATACCAAAACCAAAAAAAAGACACCCAAGACAACTGTAGACCCGTATCCCTTATGAGTATAGATACAAAAATCCTCAATGCGATCCTGGCAAAGCAAATCTAGCAGTTTATAAAAAGGATTATATACCATGACCAAATAGGATTTATTCCAGGAATGTAAATGTGTTTCAATATACAAAAATCCATTAACCACATTAACTGATTGAAGGAACATGTGATCAACTGATGCAGAGAAAGTATTTGACAAAATTCATCACCCTTTTAAGATAAAAACGCTTAACAAACTAGGGACACAAGGGAATTTCCTCCACACAAGGGAATTCCTCAAGCCTTAAGTGATAAAATGCATTTCTGAGAAGCCTATAGTTCGTATCATACTCAGTGGCGAAAAACAAAAATCTTCCCCCTAAGACCAGGAACAAAACAAGGACTGCCACTTTGACTAGTGCTGTTTAACACTGTACTAGAAAATCTAGTCTGGAAAACTGGTCAAGAAAAATTAATAAAGCCATCCAGATCAGAAAGGAAGAAATAAAACTATCTCTCTTTGCGGGTGACATCATCTTCTATATAAATAACCTTAAAGAGACAATAAAAACAGAGCCAATGAACAAAATCGGCAAAGTTACCTAAGATCAATATGCAAGAGATCAGTTGTATTTCCATACACTAGCAAGGAACCATGTAAAAGGAAATGAAAGAAACAATTACATTTACAAAAGCATCCAACATAGTAAAATGCCTAGGCATAAATATAACTGAGGAGGTGTAACAGTAGGACACTGAAAACTACAAAGCTTGGCTGAGAGAAATTAAAGACCTAGGTAAATGATAAGACTTCCCATGTTCATATATTGGAAGACTTAATATTGATAATATGGCAGTATGGCCCAAAGTGATGTAGACTCAGTAGGATCCTGATTACGATATCAGTGGCCTGTCTTGCAGAAATGACAAAGATGATCCTCAAATTCATGTGAAATTGCTTGGTGCCCCAAATAGGCAAAGCAGTATCCACGAAAAAAATAAAGTCGTTCCTGATTTCAAAACTTACTACAAAGCTACAGGGATCAAAACAGTGTTGTACTGGCACAAAGACAGATATAGACCAATGGAATAGAATGATAGAATGAAAAATCCAGAAATAAGCCATAAACCTTTGGCCAGTTGATTCTCCACAAGAGTACCACAAGACCATTCAATGGAGAATATAATAGTCTCTTTGACAAATGATGCTAAAACTGTAAAACTCTTAGAAGAAAACATAGGGATAAGCCCTCAGGACTTTAATATGACAATGAATTCTTAGATATAATACCAAAAGCATGAGTAACAAAAGAAAAAAATAGATTGGACTCCCCTAAAATTTTAAAAACGTGTTCATCGAAGGATATTGTGGAGAAAGTAAAAAGACAACCTACAGAATGAGAATAATATTTTCAAATAATTTATCTGATAAGGATCCAGTATTCAGAATATAAAAAGAATTCATACAACTCAACAAGAAAAAAACAGTCCAATTCAAAAAAATGGCAAAGAATTTGAATAGGAATTTATTTTTTTAAAGATTTATTTATTTTATTTATTTGAGAAAGATAGAAAGCGGGGAGTGGCAGAAAGAGAAGGAGAGAGATTGTCAAGCAGACTGCCCCCTGAGTGTGGAGCCCGACCTGGGGCTTGATCTCAGTATCCTGAGATCACAACCTGAGCCAAAACAAAGAGTTGGACGCTCAACTGACTCAGCCACCCAGGTGCTCCTGCATAGACATTTAAATAGACATTTCTCCAGTAAAAATATACAGTTGGCCAAAAAGCACATAAAAACCAGCTCAGCATCATTAATCATTAGGGCGGGATAATCAAAACCAGAGCTACCACTTCCCACCCAAATCAACAAAATAGAAAGCAAGTGTAGCTGAGGACATGGGGAAATCGGAACCTTCACACTTGGCTGGTAGGAATATAAAATGATGAATCCACTGTCAACAACAGTGGCTGTTGCCCAAAAAGCTAAACATGAAATTATCATACGACCCAGCAGTTGCACTCCTTGATCTATTCCCCAAATAACTGAAAGCGGGGACTCCAAGAGATACTTATAAGTCAGTGTTCATAGCAGCATTCTTCACAATAGCCCAAAGATGGAAACAATCCAATGTCCATGAAAGATGAATGGACAAAAAAATGTGCTATTTTCTAGACAATGGAATATTATTCAGCCTAAGATGAAATGAGAGACTGATGCACACTACAACATTCATGAACTTCAAAAACACACTAAGTAAGAAGCTGATCTGAACAGGTTAATATGATATAGTTTCATTTATGTGAAATATCCAGATTAAATAAATCCATAGTGGTCATTTTCAGAGGATGAGAGGAAGGGGGACTAGGGAGAGACTGCTGAATGGATATGGAGATTTTTCTGGGGTGATGTGATTATTTTGGAACTTGGTAATTAATTGCACAGAATTGTGAATGTACTAAGTGCCACTGATTTGCTCACTAATAAAATGGTTAATTTTATATTCTGTGACTTTCACTGCAGTTTTTAAAAAGTAAGTCCTACAGGAGAAGAGCTAGAAATATTTGTAACACTACATGGCTAGAGCGTAGAAAGCTAAGGAGCAAAAAATATGCATTGAGGTTTGAGAAGTAAGTAGGGACTAAGCTAAGTAGTATCTTCTAGACTAAGTTTAGGAGTTTGGGAATGCAACCAGGACTAATAAATCCTATGATCTCAAAGGACACCTCAAGCTGAGAGACACCATGATTATAGTAGTGAAGATTAATTATAGTATATTGTCAGTGAATGTTAATTTTTTAACATTCAGGTGAAATCTTACTACAGCAAATACACTTCAGTATTTTCTAGACAAAGTATCTGATTTCAGATATGCAAACAATGACTCATAGAACACTACATCAGAGGCTAACGATGTAGTATGGTGACTAACATAACATTATAAAAATTATAATTAAAAAAATTATATGTTGGATAAATTATAGCTCATCAGAAGAAAGTGAATTATTTCTAGAAGCATTTAACTTCTGAGAACTTCTAGATTTAACTTGTAACACTGAAAGGACTTCCTTTGGACAAGATGGTCCTATAATTATATTAAAAGCTATATAACCCAGGGTGACAAATGCTAAGGATTTTGCAAATGGTCGCATTTTTTGTAGTACCCTGACTCTGTTAGAATTTTCTTTTTTAAATAATGGATAAAAAAATCATTATACGTCTATGTTTGTTCATGTTCCCCAAATAAAAGTTTAGACTTTGTCTCTCAGCATTATTTAAGAAGCATTTGTAGCATAATGGAAGGGACACTGATCACCTTGTTCATGTTCCACTCTGTCATTTATTTGCTGTGAGATCTTGGACACACCTCACAACCTCTCTGAACCTTGACTTCCACATGCAGAGTCGGTATAACCAGACACAGTGTTTGCTTCTGCACATAAGCCAGTAAATTTTTGGCCAGCTGGAAAAAAATGTTGCTTGGAAGAGATAAACTTTAAATGAAATTGGAAAATGGAGTTTATTGACTGAAAAAAGTAATTTGTAGAATATATAGAATGAGGAAAGTACAGTCTCATTGGTTAAAAAAACTGTGTAGGTTTGTGTATCTTTACATCCATCCATTCATCTATCCATCCACACGCCTATCTTAAAAAGGTCCAGAAGACGTTAAAGTTTTAATTTATTTGCTTATTTGTGTTTCTAATTTTTTTTTGCAATGCACTGTGCTGCTGTAATAGTTAAAGGATTCTTTAAAAAGGAGAATAGATGTAATTGTATGATTATTTTAAAACAGAATAGAGGGTCTGTGCGGCAGAGCTATTGATAATTACATAAGTATTCACAAGAGGATCACCATCGATTTTTAGAGCTCCCTCATTTAGTCCAGTAATTTCTACATATGGGGGTCACTAGATATGTTCTGTACTCACATGGTTGCTCTGCCGTCTTTTGTAGAGGCATTTAGAAGTCCCGTATTTCGACACGGAACAGATAAGAATGGATTCAGCTTGGGTTTCAGTAAAAACATGCGACAAGTTTTTGGTGATGAAAAGAAGTACTGGTTGCTACCCATTTTTTCAAGGTACTTTGTGGTGAAAATATTCAGGTTTGAAACCAGTGAAAGTAATCTGACAGAAGAATTGTAATCCTGCATAGGAATTCCTGTTCTTTAAAAAATTATTTTATGATTCACTGTTACATGGATGGTCAGTTAAGGCATCGTTTCCCTAAGCATGCCGTGTGGAAGCCAGTGTCTGATATACATGTTTTGTCTGTAAGATAACTGTGGTCTGCTCTCAAACATCTCACTGTGACAGTTTCACTCTATTGTTTTGTTTACTGCTCAGTTGTAAGTTTTAATTTTAATTGTAGTCTAGGTGATGGCTGCTCCTTTCCGACTTGCCTTGTTAATCAGGATCCTGAGCAAGCATCTACTCCTGCGGGATTGAATTCGACATCGAAAAAGTAATCCCATATTTTTTTCTATTTTACTTACAAATAACATATCTTATCCTCCTATACCCTTTGGCTATATATTTCTTTGAAAAAATTAGGAACATAAGATAATTTACTATAATGGTTCCCACTTGGAATGAGGGGGAGAGGAAAGTGCGGTTGGGGAACGGGCCATGGAGAGCTTCAGTTATACTTGTGCAAGTGTTGTTACTCTGGGTGATGGGTAAACAGGTGTTAATTCTCTATACATTTTGGTTGACTGATAGTTTAAATGTGATGCCTAAAAGGAAAGAATATTAAATCCAAATTAGCTCCTCTAGTGATCAGGTGAGCAGATAGTAAACATGCCCTCTGACCCTCCAGGTCCTCATTATAAAGAGATCAGAAGAATGTCCCTGAATTAGGCTTTGGAGATCAAATGGAATCCCCAATGCCTGCTTGATAGTGCACCATATTCCTTTTTTTATTATTATGAACTATTTTTGCTAACATATAATGTATTATTTGCCCCAGGGGTACAGGTCTGTGAATCATCAGGCTTACACACTTCATAGCACTCACCATATCACATACCCTCCCCAATGTCCATAACCCAACCACCCTCTCCACCCCCCACACTCCCAGCAACCCTCACTCTGTTTTGTAAGATTAAGAGTCTTTTATGGTTTGTCTCCCTCCTAATCCCATCTTATTTCATTTTTTCCTTCCCTACCTCCCAGACCCCCCACTCTGCCTCTCAAATTCCTCATATCAGGGCTATCATATGATAATTGTCTTTCTCTGATTGACTTATTTCGCTCAGCATAATACCCTCTAGTTCCATCCATGTCATTGCAAATGGCACAATTTCATTTCTTTTGATGGCTGCATAGTATTCCATCGTGTATTTATACCACATCTTCTTTATCCACTCGTCTGTTGATGGACATCTAGGTTCTTTCCATAGTTTGACTATTGTGGACATTGCTATTATAAACATTCGGGTGCACGTGCCCTTTTGGATCACTACATTTGTATCTTTAGGGTGAATACCCAGTAGTGCGATTGCTAGGTCACAGGGTAGCTCTATTTTCAACTTTTTGAGGAACCTCCATGCTGTTTTCCAGAGTGGCTGCACCAGCTTGCATTCCCACCAACAGTGTAGAAGTATTCCTCTTTCTCCGCATCCTCTCCAACATCTGTTGTTTCCTGACTTGTTAATTTTAGCCATTGTGACTGGTGTGAGGTGGTATCTCACTGTGGTTTTGATTTGTATTTCCCTGATGCCGAGTGATGTGGAGCACTTTTGCATGTGTCTGTTGGCCATCTGGACGTCTTCTTTGCAGAAATGTCTGTTCATGTCCTCTGCCCATTTCTTGATTGGATTATTTGTTCTTTGGGTGTTAAGTTTGATCAGTTCTTTATGGATTTTAGATACTAGACCTTTATCTGATATGTCATTTGCAAATATCTTCCCCATTCTGTCAGTTGTCTTTTGGTTTTGTTGACTGTTTCTTTGCTGTGCAAAAGCTTTTGATCTTGGTAAAGTCCCAATAGTTCATTTTTGCCCTTGCTTCCCTTGCCTTTGGCGATGTTTCTAGGAAGAAGTTGCTGCAGCTGAGGTCGAAGAGGTTGCTGCCTGTGTTCTCCTCAAGGATTTTGGTGGATTCCTGTCTCACAATGAGGTCTTTCATCCATTTTGAGTCTATTTTTGTGTGTGGTGTAAGGAAATGGTCCAGTTTCATTCTTCTGCATGTGGCTGTCCAATTTTCCCAACACCATTTGTTGAAGAGACTGTCTTTTTTCCATTGGACATTCTTTCCTGCTTTGTCGAAGATTAGTTGACCATAGAGTTGAGGGTCTATTTCTGGGCTCTCTATTCTGTTCCATTGATCTATGTGTCTGTTTTTGTGCCAGTGCCGTACTGTCCTGATGATGATAGCTTTGTAATAGAGCTTGAAGTCTGGAATTGTGATGCCACCAACTTTGGCTTTCTTTTTCAACATTCCTCTGGCTATTCAGTTTCTTTTCTGGTTCCATATAAATTTTGGGATTATTTATTCCATTTCTTTGAAACAAATTGATGGTATTTTGATAGGGTTTGCATTAAATGTGTAGATTGCTCTAGGTAGCATAGACATTTTCACAATATTTGTTCTTCCAATCCATGAGCATAGAACGTTTTTCCATTTCTTTTTATCTTTGTTTCATGAGTACCTTATAGTTTTCTGAGTACAGATTCTTTGCCTCTTTGGTTAGGTTTATTCCTAGGTATCTTATGGTTTTTGGTGCAATTGTAAATGGGATTGACTCCTTAATTTCTTTTTCTTCTGTCTTGCTGTTGGTGTAAAGAAATGCAACTTATTTCTGTGCATTGATTTTATATCCTGATACTTTACTGAATTTCTGTACAAGTTCTAGCAGTTTTGGAGTGGAGTCTTTTGGATTTTCCACATAAAGTATCATATCATCTGCAAGGAGTGAGAGTTTGCCTTCTTCTTTGCTGATTCAGATGCCTTTTATTTCTTTTTGTTGTCTGATTGCTGAGGCTAGGACTTCTAGTACTATGTTGAATAGCAGTGGTGATATTGGACATCCCTGCTGTGTTCCTGACCTTAGGGGAAAAGCTCTCAGTTTTTCCCCAGTAAGAATGATACTCGCTGTGGGTTTTTCATAGATGGTTTTGATGATATTGAGGTATGTTCCCTCTATCCCTATACTTTGAAGAGTTTTGATCAAGAAAGGATGCTGTACTTCATCAAATGCTTTTTTAGCATCTATTGAGAGTATCAGATGGTTCTTGTTCTTTGTTTTATGAATGTATTGTATCACATTGATTGATTTGCAGATGTTGAACCAACCTTGCAGCCCAGGAATAAATCCCACTTGGTCATGGTAAATAATCCTTTTAATGTACCGTTGGATCCTATTGACTAGTATTTTGGTGAGAATTTTCACATCTGTGTTTATCAAGGATATTGGTCTGTAATTCTCCTTTTTGATGGGGTCTTTGTCTGGTTTTGGGATCAAGGTAATGCTGGCCTCATAAAATGAGTTTGGAAGTTTTCCTTCCATTTCTATTTCTCCGTTTCAGGAGAATAGGTATTAATTCTTCTTTAAATGTTTGGTAGAATTTCCCTGGGAAGCTGTCTGGCCCTGGGCTCTTGTTTGTTGGGAGATTTTTGATGACTGCTTCAATCTCCTTACTAGTTATGGGTCTGTTCAGGTTTTCTATTTCCTCCTGGTTCAGTTTTAGTAGTTTGTATGCTTTTAGGAATGCATCCATTTCTTCCAGATTGTCAAATTTGCTGGCATATAATTGCTCATGATATGTTCTTATAATTGTTTGTATTTTTTTGCTGTTGGTTGTGATCTCTCCTCTTTCATTCATGATTTTATTTATTTGGGACCTTTCTCTTTTCTTTTCGATAAGTCTCGCTGGGGGTTATCAATCTTACTAATTCTTTCAAAGAACCAGCTCCTAGTTTTGTTGATCTGTTCTACTGTTCTTTTGGTCTCTATTTCATTGATTTCTGCTCAAAATTTTATTATTTATGTTCTCCTGCTGGAACTTTCTGTTCTTTCTCCAGTTCCTTTAGGTGTAGGGTTAGGTTGTGTACTTGAGACCTTTCTTGTTTCTTGAGAAAGGCTTGTATCGCTATATACTTTCCTCTCAGGACTGCCTTTGCTGTGTCCCACAGATTTTGAACAGTTGTGTTTTCATTATCATTTGTTTCTATGATTTTTTTCAATTCTTCTTTAATTTCCTGTTTGACCCATTCATTCTTTAGTAGGATGCTCTTTAGCCTCCATGTATTTGGGTTCTTTCCAAATTTCCTCTAGTGATTGAGTTTTAGCTTCAGAGCATTGTGATCTGAAAATATGCAGGGAATGATCTCAGTCTGTTGGTACTGGTTGAGACCTGATTTGTGACCCAGGTTGTGATCTATTCTGGAGAATGTTCCTTGTGCACTAGAGAAGAATGTGTATTCTGTTGCTTTGGGATAGAATGTCCTGAATATATCTGTGATGTCCATCTGGTCCAGTGTGTCATTTAAGAGTACACTGTATTCTTAATGCTTGTTCAAAACCTGTAGACATTATCTGAGCCATGTCAGTGGAAAGAAAAGGGAAGGAGTCTTGGAAATTTAGTGTCTGGAGACTTTTGCCATTGCTTGAAGTCTCTTCTGGTTCTAGTTTGCCACGAATTTGAGGACGACCTCAAAATTTGATTCTGACTTTGGTACTAACTAGCAAAAGGCAAAACTACTTAAACTTTTAATGTTATGTATGAATTTGTAACTTTGAAACACTAGTTTTTACATGTTTAAGACTGATTTATTTGAATAAGGCAATACCTCTGATTTTGAAATGATAGCTGATAGCAAGAGCATAACCATAATATCATTCTTAGTTTAATTTTAGAGATTTTTCTTAGTTGGGAATGCCATGTACGTAACACCTGTACCCACACTCCTCCCATCTCTTGTGGCTTTCTTATTGATCACAGTACTTCCTATGGTGGAGCCCATCATGACCCCAGAATTTTTCTTGAGTCACTGACCCTGGTAGCCATTCCAAAACATTTTAAATTGTCACCAGATGAAGCCTATTGGCCACCCCATTCCTAGGCTGACCTTTGTACAGACCAGACTCTACAAGTTAATGAGGAGGCCATTCTGATGTGATTTATGGGGTCATTCAAAAGCACCAGAGTCTCAGTGAGGTGTGCCCTCTGAATTTTGGCTCTCTTGACCATTCAAGGGTTAGGGGTTTTTCTTATATCTTGATGCAGAAAAATCTCCTGTTAATAGATTATTTAGAATGTTTTCACTTTTATAAAGTTTGCTAGTACTCTTCAGTCCTATTTTTTGCCTTTTAAGTGGTTTTTGTAGTTCAAGGAGGTTTGGGTCTCTGAGATAGTTGTCCTCCTTCTATTACGTGTACTGCAGGCTTTGGGAGAAATCCTAGTTCTCGCACCGTTGCCCGGTTTAGATGATCTTGTAACAACTATGGGCTCCTCTTCCCTTTCCTTTAAATTTTGGGATTGGATTTTGACAGCTAAAATATCTTTTATGTAATTCTATAATTTCCCCTGATTAGCCCACGTCAAATTAGGAGGGCAGGTGATGATCTCTCCCCTGTACTCCAGAGTTTTATGTCTGTCTACTCAACATTTGCACTTAAATATCTAAAAGTCATCTCCCACTGAACAGGAGCAAAGTACAACTCCTGATTGTCAGACGTCAACACCCTCCCCTTTAGCTCAAATCTCTTTCTCCTCCCTTCTTCCGTATGGCAGTGTTAGTGACCCTCAGTCTCCCAGGTGCTCAGGCCAGAACTGTGGAGTCATCCTAGATTCTTCTTTCATTTACCTTGCATTTACTCCATTTACCAATCCTTTCGTGTGCCCCTTCAAAATGTGCCAGTAATCCCAGTACCTTCTTACCACCTTCAGACTGCTTTCTGGTCTGAGCCATCATTTCTCACATGGATTATTTTTATGCCTTCCTTACCAATGTTTCTGATTCCATGTTTGCCCTCTAGCCTGTTCTCCATTAAGAATCAGACTGTGTCACTCTCGTGCTCAGAACCCTCCACTGGCTTCCCATCTTAACCAGCGTAAAAGTGAATGCATGTCCTTACCTTGTCTGGTCTAATCTGACCCCAGTGTCTCTCTGATGTCATCCCTTGACACTTTACCATCACTCACAATCCTCGGACACGCAGATCTTGTTGGTCCTCAAGTATACCAGGCCTGTCCCTTAGTTAGTGCCTTTGTACTTGCCAATTCTTCTCCCTCACCATTTTTCCTCCATGTATCTGAATGCTCTATGACCTTTTCTTATTTCTAGCTCGGGTGTAACTTCACAGTAAAGACCATCTTTGAAAACTCCTTGTAAAATAGCAACCTGCTCCTCCACTTCCCCATACCTCTCTTTTTCTCTTGTCATAGGCTTTTATGTCACCAGACTTATTCTTTATTTGTTATTTACTATTATTCCTTCTAAATTACAATGAAATTTCCATGTGATCAAAGACTATATCCATGGACCTAATCGGTACTCAGTGAATACTGTTGAATGAATGGATCTTTCCTTGCCATTTGTTAGATTCTTATTAGCAGTAACGAATCTGCAAGGAGTCCCTAAACCAGGACCTAGTTACTATGCTGTACCTGGTCCCTCTCTTGAAGAATAATGAGAGTAAAAGGTTTTTTTTCATGTATATAGGAGACATGCTTTTTATTTTTAAAGATTTGCCTCCCAAATTTCAATAAGGGGATGTTAAAGCTGCACAAAATTGACATATTTTCTAATTTTAGGTATGAGGTAATTATTAAGGAACAAAAGCTTATCCTTTCAAAAATATAGTATAGTCAAACTCATGTATGTGGAATTATTCTTGGAAGAATTTCAAGTATTTTTTTTCTTTTGAACATTATTGTGATTACTATTTCAGAGTATTCTAAAACTACACATACAGTTTCTATGCCAATATTTTTTTTCTATCTAAGTGAAATGTTATTTTCATGTATATTTTTTCATGCCATTCAATGTCGATATGTAGCATGTCTACTTAAATTTTAAAACTTACGTTCTTCTTTTAAGGCTCTTTATGCCCCAAATTAAATGTCACATTTGTAAGACCTGATGATGTCAGATGTTTTCAACATTTCTGCAAGATAGTGCTCAAATTTGTTGTTTCAGTTTCAAAGATGAAGGATAGAGAATTCTTTGTTCAAGACTAGTTAGTCCACTTTAGAAACACTAGGACAGTTTTTCTCAAACTTGTCTTTCCACCATTACCTTCATGTATTTTTTTCCATATCCATATACCACTTACAAACCCTTATATTTTTATTTAATGTATTTACTTAAATTGACACTGAAGCTAATTTTTATCTTTTTTAAAGAACAATAGTTCTTTTTAAGATTTTTTAAAAAATTTATTTGAGAGAGAGAGAGAGAGTGATAGAGAGAGCATGAGAGGGGAGAAGGTCAGAGGGAGAAGCAGACTCCCCATGGAGCTGGGAGCCCAATACGGGACTTGATCCTGGGACTCCGGGACCATGACCCGAGCCGAAGGCAGTTGCTTAACCAACTGAGCCATGCAGGTGCCCTGAAGCTAATTTTTAAATCAAACATTATATCACTATCATAAATGAAAACTGGTATAATTTGCCATAAATAGAATATAGCTTAAAAAATAAAATTGATGATAAAATACTTTTAAATTCTAACTAGATTCCCTCACCTGCTAGAGTAATAGGCAGAAGCCTGTTCTCTGTTTTAAAAATGGAGACTTGCCAAAGTTAAAGATTGTCAACTTACTGTATTCAGAAGAATGAAAAGAGAATGGAAGGAAGAACAGTTTTCTTGTTGTGAGTTAGTGTGAACATGCCTTATTCCCTTTGCCCCAAATTCTCTTGGGAATTGGTTTGAATTCTATACTTTGAGAAACACTGCACTCAATACTATTCAAGAGCTAACATATGATTGTGCTGACTATTATTATTATTCAGTTCTGAAAACCATCCGTTTCCTGCAAAGCCATTGCGAGAGTCCCAGAGCCACCTTCTCACTGATTCTCAGTCTTGGACAGAGAGCAGCACAAACCCCGGAAAAGGCAAAGCTGGTAAGGGTGTGCTTACTTGGCTGTTTTAATAGATTTTATTTTTAAAAGGTGAAAGTAGTGCAGAAATTCCATCATATTACCTATAGAATCTTTCTTGCTTCGGAGTTGAACTCCCATGCTAAATGTAGAGTTATCTTCAGGAACTTCTGTTTTTAAAGTACTTTGATTAATGTCTATTAGCTGAAGATCATTTTTGTGAAAGATCTGCATTGCTTTTATCCCAGTTTAAGAAACAAATAGTTACTACTGCCTATTTAATAAAATGATGCAAATATACATATTTAATGGAAAATTGTAATCAACTCAGACAAAAGATTGAAAAATATCTAGTAAAAAAGATCTTAAATTATATGATTCCTTTACTTGAAGATTTCTATCCAGTAAAGTTACTGCATAATTACCATAACTTTAGTTATTTCTTCAAATCCCACTCACATTTCTCTTGTTATTATTGTTGATTTTAATCTTTAATTTGGTCAGTATAGTTTATTGGCAAAGAAAAGGCAAGGCTTTGAAGTTAGACTGGATTTTAGATCCCAATTTGGACACTGAGTCAGTGTATGATGTTTATAGTAACTACCCTCTTTTAGATGTAACTAGTTTCTTCCTTCCTCCTCCCTCCTTCCTTTCTTCCTTTCTTCCTTCCTTCCTTTCAACATTTTATTTATTTATTTGAGAGAGAGAGAGCACAAGTGGGGTTGGGGCAGAGAAAGAGAGAGAAGCAGGCTCCCCGCTAAGCAGGGACCCTCCCCCACCCCATGTGGGGCTCGAACCAGGACTCTGTGTGATCATACTTGCAGGTACATGTGTATATGTGTGGTGTCCCTATAATAAGTATAAAACCATACATCCATGATTAAGGCACTATTAGCCAGAAAATCTTCCCTTTATTTCTAGTCCTTTCTTCAAACTCACTTCTAGTGCTGCCTGACTTTGTCTCCCTGCACTTTATTTACTTTTTTAAAGATTTTATTTATTTGAGACAGCATGAGAGAGAGAGAGAGAGAACTTGAGCAGTGAGAAGGGCAAAGGGAAAGGGAGAAGCAGGCTCGGCTGGATACAGGGCTTGATTCGGGGCTTGATCCCTGGACCCTGGGATGAGGACCTGAGCCGAAGGCAGACAGTCAACTGACTGGGCCACCCAGGTGCCCCGGCTCCCTGCACTTTAAAGTGTTTTTTGTTTTATTTGAAATCTCTTTGTGATTTAGTGATAGTGAAAAATAGTCCTAAGTAAAAATTCTAAAGTCATTAATTAATCTATAGTCACATTCTTCTAAAATACAGGCTTTCTTTAAAGAGTCTTGTTCTCAAGGAATATCCATGCCCTCCGAAGAGCCCCATGGTGTGGTGTCCATAACTTCGTCTCTCTCGTCACCTTCAAATCTGCCATTCCGTCTTTCAATTTTCGCGAAGGACTAGACATTGCCTAAACGAAAATCGATGCCACCTACTAGCCCTTTGGATCTATTAGTTTCCTTGGAGGCAAAGAAGTGATGTATAGTTGGGGGTCAATTTTCGGGGGGTAGAAAGACAATGAGCTCCCTTTCTTTCAGAAGGAATTCATGTTACCTCGTATAGTTCTGCATTAACATAGAAGCGATTTCTTAGTTTCTGTGTGCTGTTAATCATTTGGCACGTTAGGTTAATTTTCTGTTACTTGGATGGATGAATTGAGAACTTATTTAAAGTTTAAAGAGTGCTACAAAAGAAGGAAGAGAAACATGAGAAGGGTGAGGTGAGAAAGGCCTTAAAGATCAGTTTCACCAGAATGACAGAGGGAAATGTAGAATTAGGAAGAGCACTCTACGATGATGTGAGGGTTGCCAGGTCCAGTGTATCTTTCATGTTTTTGTTCACCCCCCCTCTCCCTTAAGTATATATTTTGTTTATTTATTTATTTATTTGTTTATTTAGAGAGAGGCAGAGGAAGTGGCAGAGGGAGAGGGAAAGGGAGAATCCTAAGCAGGTTCCACGCGGATTCCCCACTTGGGGTTCGATCCCAGGACCCTGAGATCATGACCTGAGCTGAAATCAAGAGTCCAGTGCTTAACCAACTGAGCCATCCAGGCATCCCTTGTATATCTCTTTTTAAAGTGCCTTTTGTGACACTGGTAGTTGCCAACACTGTATCGTATGTATGTGTGTGTTTCTGTGTGACCATCTTACAAACCTGTACTATGCGCAGGGCACCTTTGGAAGCAATATATTGGGGAGATTCAGGGATGGATAAACAAGTCTCTGCCTTATATTTGTTCAAAAGCAACACCTCCCCCACCCCCACAAACAAAATGCTAATTTTTGTTCTTTCTTGAAGGTATGAGCAATCCTGCATTAACCATGGAGAATGAGACTTAACTCTTCAAACAAAATAAATTCATACTTTATGAAAGTAAGATGTTTTTCCTTTATCGTCATGTTTTATACTTTTAACAGCTTTTAAGTTCTCTTAGGGCAAATAGGCTATAAATATTATTATTGATTTTTGAGTGACTGAAATTTTAAGATGTTTTAGTTCACCCTTGAAATCCTATTATTCATGCTGGAGAACTTTGAATGTGGACCTAGCTTTGGGATCAGCTAGTGTGTAACATTAACTTGACAAATAACAGAAATAAGTTGATGAACAAAGTTCATTTTTATAGCAATACACTAAATGGCAAGGATTGTTCCTAAACTATTGAACTTTACATGATGATTTTCTTGTCATATGAAAGGACTTTGCAATTTTTTTTCTTTTTGCTTTTTTCTATCCTTTTGATATACAGTAGTTATAAACTTGACCATCTATCAGTAGAATCTCACTGGGTCTAAGTGGTGAAAGATGATTATATCTGTTAGTGCAAACCTCCCTCATCCCTATTTTTGGTTACAGTAGGACCCTGTAGCATGCGTTATCTTTAAAATAACAAGGGTTCCAAATCATTTTCTTTAAGCCATAAATTTTTTTAAACCGGTTGCTCCAAATCAATTTAAATAATCTTTAAAAGATTATTTACTTATAAGCTTCCAGTCAATACAAAAAGAGCCCCTTTGGAACAAAGCCATAAGCATCCAAACAAGACAAACTGTATGTATTGTTAGCATAAACCCAGTGTAGAGTTGAACAGTAAAGTTATCAAATAAATCTTTATTTATAAAACTTCAGTCTAGAATCCTAAAGTCTAAAGAAAGCAAGAGAGGGGAATCTAAAACAAAGTCTTTTGTGTCAAAGTGCTTCACCAAATCTGCTTTTTTTTTCTTTGTTTTTTAAACTATTTTAATCCCAAAATCTGTTTGTTTTTTAAATTTGTTTCTTTGTTTTGGTTTGGTTTTTATGAGTAGCTATGTGATAACTGCAAAATACTGATCTGGCAATTTGCCAGTTGACTGATGTTTTGGTTTTGGATGACTGTATATGGTGGTGTAGTAGATCAGACTAATCAAAACTATGGCTAGCATAGTGAAAATTTAATCTTAATTTGATAAATAGTGAAGAGAATATTAAATTTCTGAAAGTAATTCTTAAAATGTAACTCTGAATACACAAATCTAAATCACTAATACCACAAGTAAACTATTTTGTAGAAATAATTCTATAAAGCATATAAGGTTTCATAGGATTTTTTTTTCAGTATTTTGAATCATTAGTTCTAATTACCAATGTTTCTGAGGTCATATGTGTTAAATATTTTACAACTTTACAGAGTAATATGTGTGTAAGTCACATAGACTTCCCAGTATTTTGACACAAGACCAGTGTGGTTTGATGATCATTATTCTCAATACTTCTTACAATACCAGACACATAGTTGGTTCTAAATAACCATTTTGTAAATAAGTGATAGAATAACATAATTAAAATTAAAAATCTCACAGAAACTTGATTTTATTACACATGAATATATGACATTAGTGGTCATAATAACCAAATGGCAGCATGAATCAGCTGTGGTGTAAAAAAATTTTGTGATTTTATGATGTAGTGTTTTTCATTCTATTGTCCTAACCAGTGACATTTAAATGTTTCTTTAAAAAATTGAATTTTCCCAAGGTAGCTACTATTCCAAATAGTTTTTAAAAGTTTCACAAATAGTTTTTTCTGCTTTACCTCGCAGACTTGCAATTCATTTGTTATATTATTATATATTATAGTAAATAATGTTACTTGATACTGATATGCTTAATTTAATTATATTACTGAATATTTTCATATTCTCTTTTCTTTTTGAAGTACATTAGTAAATGACCTGTGGGCCTTTTATAAAATATTAGTTCATCATACTTCGCAGATAGTTATGTACCTAGACCCATAGCAGCACTTTTCTGTAAGTTACATTGTCTTTTCAGCCTTCCCTCCTACTCAAGTAAAAAATGCTGTGCTTGTACACACATGAAATTTCAAAATTATTTTCCTAAATCCCTATTCCAACTCAGCTGTCACTCCTAAATTCCTGCTGCCCTCGGACACATGCAGAAAGGAACACTTTTGGGGCCTCAAACCGGGAGCATCAGCATCAGCTGGGAGCTCAATAGAAATGTATAATTTTGGACATAGACCTACTGAATCAGAATCTGCATTTTCTGCATTTTAACAAAATCCTCTGGTCTTGTAATATGCACATTATAGTTTGAGAAGCACTGATGTAGGGTTCTGTATTCAAGAGTATATCTGAGCTCTCTAACCCAGAAAATAGTTTTGAACAAGGAATGTTATTCAACAAACATTGAGTGAATTGTTTTAGTTTTTTTGTTTGCTTGTTTTTTGTAGTTAACACAATAGTTTCATGATTTTTGTTTCATTTCAAGGTTTCAGTGCTGTGTAGGTGGAAGGAAGAGGCTTCCCACAGGAAGGCACCATTGGCCTGTTGCTCCCATTTCCCTTTGGCTGGATGTGCAGAATATGAATTGGTTAGTTCTAAGCTGTTGCATAAAAAACATAACATTTTTTAACCCAATATACAGATTGTTTCAACTAACATGAATTCCTGTTAAATATTAGGAGTAATTAAAGTTTATGAATCAAGGGCAGAAATACCTTCTATCATAAAACCTTGGAATAAAGTCATGGGCTAATTTTCACCCAAATATTTGGGTAGTGCAATGTATCCACATAAAAAGCCCTTTAATCATCTGATTTTCTGATTCAGAAAATTGAGCCTATTAAGATATTGAAAGTTAAAAGATTTCAAATTACAGTATAATGACAGCTTTATTAGTTACCTGGGAGGTGGAGGTAGCATATCAGACTTGTTCATTCCCTCTCTTGTGACTCCAGCCCCAGACTGAGTGAACTATAATGACTATGAATTCATTATAAATTTTAAGTGGCCTACAGTTGAAAATTACCACCATTTTTGTCAGATTTCAGTCTAATTCTAGCCTTTGTTCACTGCTGGAAAAGAAGTATGATCATTGAAGCCTGAACTCACTGATAAGTAACTAGCTAGCAAATTTTTATCACAATACATTATAAATTTATCACAATACATACATAAATTTGTATCACTAATACATTATGATTATATCCAAAATATTTTTCATCTCTTCTGATCTTCTTAAATTGAGGGAAGATCTATAAAAACAATTATGAAGATTGATTTATGATGTTCTTTTTTTTTTGCCAGTCTGGCTTTTTTTAAAGTCTCAGTTTTTTTTAGGTTATTTGTTCTCTTGAACATAGCAAAAATAATGAATTTGTTCACAATTCTTAATGGGCCAATAGATTAATCCTCCATTGGTATCTGTATTATCTCTGTGTCCCGTCATTAGAAGTATGACAGTTAAACTTCATAGTTCTTCAAATACTTAAGGTTAAATTATGCAAATCATTAAAAGAAATCATGTACTTTTAGAAATTTAGTTCAATATGAACTAAATGGTATGCTGTTTGGAAATTGAATTTAAGGTAAACTAAAGTGGTGTGTTTGTTGATGCCAAAATGTTCGGCTTCAGTAAATATACTAGGAAGCTCTTGTGCTTTGTATGCACTATTTGAAAAAGTTTTCTTTTTTTTTTTTTTTTTTGAGTGGAGTGTAAGTTTTGTAAATGTTAGAGATTAGAATAAGCTTTAAACATTTTTTGGTACTGATTTTGAGAATTTAAAGCAGATTATCTTTTACAACTTACACAGCTAAGGAACTGGTATTTAATCGAAAAGAAAATGATATTAAACTTTTCAAAATCTGAATTAGACAAAAATGCAACACATGATAGACTAGTAGACCAGAGGATAATGGAGTAAACAAGATCCTTGCAAATATTCATTCTTTCTAAAAATGTAAAGTTTTATATTTAAATGAGTTTGTGGAAGAATCAATGTCAGCCAAATCCATTTTATAGATCATTTGAGTGTAATTCTTTGAATAATAGGATGGCACTCTTTTCAGATTTTTTTTTTAAATTTTTTTTAAAGCTAAAGACATTGATCTGACAATCTGTTTCAGGAACTCTTGGAAGATATGATGCATTTTTACTTTTTACTTTTAAAGCATTTTTTGGTCATCATTTTTTTATTACCTGAAGTGCCAGATTGGAACCTATAGCTACTGCTGGAAGTCTTAAGGGCGACAGCATCACGTGATGTATTAAGAATTATATGCAGCCAGGTTATTTTCAAAGCACAGTACTATAGCCATTTTTGTGGACAGGATTCTGTGACGTGTTCTTTCTCGTCAAAAATAGAAGAAAAAAAAAAAGGGGGTGTTTTATTCCTTACCTTGCTAGAGTATTGTTAAATTTTTCCATTAGGTCTTTTGTGTAATTATTGAAATATATGAGTCAGTACACATTAGAATCAGACTCAAAACAATTTTTTTTACAAATAAATTTTTTTCCATTAAGTTGTAATGGTTCCCTTTTTGTTTTCACACAGTGGGTAATCTTTCAAGTGTTTTTTTGTTTGTTTTTAATCTAGGTGGTTATCATTTTTAGAAGTGATGGCATATCTCACTAGATATGCAATACGTAGTTTACCTGAGTGAATAAAGCATCAAATAGACCTACATTTTGTACATATTTATAAAATTACCTTAAAAACATTTTAAACATTTTGTTTTAAAAATTTTAATTGTTCAACTCAAACCCGAAGACACTTATACTTCAGCTATCCTGAGACTCCATTTAGCTGATAATTTTGATTTTTTCCTGTTTTTAAAAATTCTACCATATAGGTAAAATTTTTAAGAATTTTTTTAAATGTTGTACAAATACTTCATATACTGTAGTTAACTATTTGCCGCTGTGCAGTGAAAAGAGGGTTTGTATTTTCAAAGATAAACTTGTTGCATCTAAATACAATGATGGGACATTTAAGGCAGTGCTTATCCATGAATTCCCTCCTGTTCTACCATAATAAAGTCTGGTTGATCACCTTTATTAGCTGTTTATATGAAATTTGCCTTTGCACTGACAATCAAAATCACTTTAAAGATACACTTACTTCTCCTAATAGTCTACCAGAGTTACTACAGACAAAATTGATCTACAACCTGGTCAGAACACAGGTCTTCTGAGAAAAGTATGTGTCGGTAATATGATTCTGAGGACAATTAGGAACAGACTGTGAAGCTTGAGTACACGGTGTTCAACAGATAAATGGGGAATACGGCATGTTTGACAATAATTACGTTCCTTAGAGAAATCAAATACAACGGATTTATAGAACGTGTTCTTAAAAAGTGAAGGCAGTAGTCATGTGTCATGCTTCGTGAAAACATTGTTACTCCATTATAATATAAACTAGCAGATATTCCCTATTTTGACTTACATGTGTCCCACAATACAATGCTCCGTTTATTTCCATCCTCAGAAAAAGAGGATATAAGAGGATTTTCTACTATAATGCAGCCTAGGTAACTAAGAGCTCATCCTTTAATTGTCCTTACACCAACAAAAAGTTAAGATAGGGCTGCTTGGGCAATGCCAAACAAATCACTTTGCAGCTTTTTCTCATGGCTGGAAAGGGACCGCAAAAAAGACAACTGGTGACAATGCCCAAAGGTAGATCTTTGTTCTTGTTTGTAGCCAGGATTCAGTATTTGTTAGCTTACTGTTGCGGGAAAAATGTGTTAAGATGAATCATCTTTTGACTTACTTCTGAGCACCATCGAAACCAAAGGGGGTCTTTTGATAAGTGATTTTAAGCTCTGGTTTATGCTAGGTAAAGGAGCTTCTCATTACCCAGACACTAGCTTATGATTTATAAAAACTATCCTTCGTGTTGCATCTTCCAGGGAAGGTTTTACTACAGAGTAAGGCGCTCTCCTGACCTGAATTTATTAATACTTAACAGTTCTTGTTTGACAGATAAAGGTGCTTAATGGAGAAAAAGAAAAAAATCCTGCTCCAAAGTAGAATTCTGTTGATGCCGAATTAAAAAATTGATTATCACAGAAAGCTTCAGTTCTTCTGTTGTCTTTTATTCAACTATGAAAGAAAAGCTGTTGTCAGTTTAGAATTCATACCTTTTTCATTAAGTATAAGTCTCCTAAAGTCTAGATTAAAAGCATCTTAAATGACCTAATCAAACATTTATTGTGAAAGGTGAATAATAATAAAAAGCAATCTTAATTACACACTAATCTTAATGTAACATGCAAACATGTTTCAGAGTTCTTTAAAAAATACCCTCAGGCAAATAGAGGCTGCAGATGAGCCCAGAATGGCTACAAAGAATCAACTGGAGGAAAGACTGGACACACATGTATGGCTCAAGTATGTTTTTGTTTATGCTCTTTTCACAAGGTCTTTGCACTAGTTTAAGATACCAGCTAACAATGAACAGGGTTTATTCTTGTTAAGAAAAAAGAAAACAGAGGTGACAAGTGAAATGGGTATCAGCTGAACCAGAACACCTTACATTTTTACAAGGTTTTTTAAATTTGACCAACCCAACCCTTTTCTGCTCCATGTATATTTTTACATATTCGGAATTGTTAACACATTGAGTAGATTTCAGGTTGCACTAAGGTAGTAGTTTCTCAGCTTCTTTGAAAATAGTCTCACTTGTATTTCCATTCAGACTATGAAAAGAAACCAGTTCTTTGGTCACTTCAAACTTAGCTTTGATTTCTCAAAGAAATACAGTAATAGCTGGAAAGCACTAGAATATCTTAGAGCCAAAGAAAAATACTCAAAATCCTTTTTCATTTTATAATTAACTGTCGATGTTGTGCCCAGTGGCCTCACTCTTCAACCAACTGTTCTTTCCAAAAGGCTAAGTCGTTAAAATTTATTTCCTCTAGACATAATTCTTTGGGCTACTGATTCAGAAACCATGACCTAAGTATCAGTAAATGGCTTTCTTGGCTAACAGACTTTGGTTGTAGCCTCACTTTCATTTCTTATTTTTGTGAAGAAATCATGATGTGTTAAGATACTCCATTTTAAAATTTCTGTTGCTTTCCCAGTAGTTGGGCATGTTGTGATGAGTGCTTGGTCTGCTTATGTCAACATATATTGTGTTTTTTAGCAGTTACAGTATCATTCCTTGACAAACACAGTATTTACCATACAATTTGGTAAGATAATCCACATTCCAGTGTGCCTTCAAGGCACAGCATTCAAAGTGCAGTTTTCTGGTTTTGACATAATGATCTGGTAACAGAAAAAAAAAATGTTTTTGTACAGATAACAAAGCACTGCAAATGCTTTCACATCATAGCTGCATCACTGATTGTGTAGCATACCAAAAAGGAATGTGAAATGCTAAGAAAGCCATAAGCAGTTTCTGTAGCAGCTAGTCAACCTTCCTGCTGTGGTGCAAAAGTAGCCATAGACAGTACAGAAATGATGAGTGTGGCTGCATTCCAAGAAAACTTTATTTATGGACACTAAAATTTGAATTTCATAATTTTCACATGTCAGGAGGTATTATTCTTTTGATTTTTTTCCCCCAACCATTTTAAAACCGTAAAAACTGTTCTTATCTCACTGGCCTTACAAAGAGAGGCAGCAGCCTGGTTTGGGCCTGTAGGCTGTAGTTTGCTGACCCTTGCTCCAAGAGATTTAATAGATTATGGTGAGTCCAGTTAATGGCTCAGGAGCATTACAAAATTATCGGCCAAATATCTCAAGTCCAAAAGCCAGATTTAGTAAAGGTCATGTTCCTCTTTTAGAAGTAATAAAATAGTAGTATTACTGCTTAAGAGACAGAAACCAAAACTGACACAAACTAAGAAATTGAGCAACTATGTGGCTATTCAAAAGGGAATCTTTGTAATTCCTATTTTTTTTAAGGAGGTGAAGATCAAAATAAGAAACCTATTAGATTATCTGCTATATTGTGTCAGCTTTAAAAAGAAGCCACAGTAAGTCATATCAAATGCATTACTTTGTCTTTCAGAATAAATGCCTTCCTGGAAAGGAGATAAAAATCAATTCTTAACATCTAGTTGAGGTATTCATAAAGAATAAGCTGACAGTGTTGAAATGCAAAAGGCTCCATTAGACTAATTATTCAACTAATAAAAACTAGACTAATAATTAGCTACAGTTGAAGTTACTGAGTTATTAATAATAACAGACTAACAATTAGCTACAGTTAAAGAAGTTACTGAGTTCTGTTCAGTTGCCCAAATTAAAAAAAATAAAATCTCCCAAATAAATATTTTTAAAACAAAATTACCAGTCATCAACATATATAAGAAAACATTTCTGAAGGCTTTATTTACAAAAGCTTTAAAAACAAATAATACCCTCTGTTTTGCAAATAACGTTTTGTTTAAAAAGGACCACCCAGTTACAGCATTGTAATATAATGAATAATGTACAAAGAAAACAAACCAATGTGGCTAACATTTTAAGATTTGCTAGTATTACTGATTCAAATGTAGGTAACACACATCATAACTTGTAGTCTATCATTTCAGGGAAGAGTTAATGATTACCAAAATGTCTTCCTACACATGCTCTGGTCTGGTCACATATTCTTCATGGCTAAATATTTCAATCTCTTTTGTCAATATATATAAAATAGATTGCAAAGATATACACAAAAAAATAAACAAGCATTACACTCCTCAGGTAATTTTAATTAGCTATATATATATAGCCATATATATATATACACACACACATATATGGCTTTATATATAGAATATATTTTTGTGTTTTGTTGTTTTGCACCAAATCTCTTCATTATTTATCTTTGTGACAACTATGAAAGCACAATTTTTTTTCTTCTAATTTAATTTGGTACAATATATACCTAAAGACTTGCTATCTTTGGACTTTAATGAAATTGATTTGTGGAATCAACAAAGCAAGAGCATCATAAGTATGGCTATAAAATGTTTAAAAAATTAAAAATAAGGTAAACAGTGACAGAATAAGAAGAAGCAGATCAAAGGGAAGTGTGCTATCATAAAATAATGGCGGCTTCAATTATCTTGGATGCCAGTTTCCTGGCAGACATTAAACATCCAATCACAAGGGATTTTTCCTGAAGGGTGTAAAGCTGGTTTGAAAAATTCTTCAGTCACAGAGCAGCCTACACATGCCAATGAGAAACTGACAGACACTAGATGTGCTTGGAAGATTAAACACTACGTACAGAAACAGCAGTTACTAAGCTCTCAGTAGTTTTTTGTTCATTTTTTTTTTGTAGTCTTGCTGAATCAACCGTTTGCACAATGCATGTGCTATTTCCGTGGGTCAAAAACAAGTAAATACTGTATAAGGTTGGCAGATGGTCATTTTTCCAGCTAAGAGCAAGAAAAGCCAAAATTTCTGATAAAACAGAGGATTTGAGTCAGAATCACTCTCTAAAGTGCAAAATTGATGGTCCACAATCTCAAATAGCTAAAACTCCTGCAGAATAGAAGGGAGACATGAAACAGGGAAATAAATTACAGTCAGTGCTAGTTAATTTAGGAAGGGGGAAAAACAAACCAAGCCCAAGCAGGTGAAGTTTATCAAAATATTCAGTATGATGCGGGTTTCCCCACTCTCTGTCACACATGCCTGCTAACAAGTATATTAAGTTAAGGCCAAATTTAACCTGAATGCTTTTCTATTTATTAAGATCTGAGATAGGAATGGTCATACTAGTACTGAAAGGCAGAAAATAAAATGGGCTATGAAAGAAAAAAAAATAGTAATATCTATTGTTCAAGGGATTCAACGAGAGATAAAACCTATATACAAGTTTGTGTGTAGCTCAAATAAAAATAAAAGGACTATTTCATGTCATGACTGCTTGTTGGCTTCCTCTTCATATGCATTCCCTGTGCCATTCTGTACATAGGATGAACCAGAACCAAGGCCATACAAATGACCACAATATTTGGCATCATCAATATGATCTTCAAAGAACATCTAAAAAGGAATTTTGGGGGAAAAAAAAAAGATAATTTTAACCAAAAGGTACCACTGGTAACTTATATTTCAGCAATGTAAGTACTGACTGTTTATTAACTAAAATGACAGCTCTTTTCTATGGTGCTCCTTTGAGGCCACACATTTTAAAATTCAATGAGTAAGACTAATGTTCTCAAGAAGTACAGAGCTCAAGAGAAACCAAAGAAAAAGATTACTAAAAAAATGTATAAACAAGGGTCTTTCCTATTAACATTTAGATCAATTTTATGAGAGTTTGTAATCATGGAAAAATGGCAGGAATTCTTATCTCATTAATGTAACAATACTCAACGATCAAAATGAATGAGCATTGCCAATGATTGGAGAAAAAAGTTTAGGCTTCTAAGTAGCCTTGAGTCTACATGCAAGGCTGAGTTGGCTGAAAACAAACCCTGAATACATTCTGGACAGTGAAATCTGAACATTCACACTAGGTCACTATTCTTGAAAAAGCCAAGGAACATAAAGATGATAAATTAGTAGCAGAGAATCCACCATTAATTGAACCATTAAGGTATTTTTTAAAATGCAAAGCTGAAAATCCAAAAGGTTGTTTTAATTCTCTAGTGTAGCACTGGAAAGAAGTACAAAACAAAGTATTTACTTGTCATGAATAGACAGTCCAAATCACTTCTGACTCAATACCTGGCAAAACAACTATTATGCTTTCTATTGTTAATACAACTGCTACAGAAGTTTTAAATTTCCAGATAGTTCTCAGTCAATTCTTGAGTATCTAAGAGGATATATTCAGAAGAATTCTAAAGTTGTATTTTGCAAAAAGGAAAACTTTCTTTTTGCATTTAATTTACAATGAGGTGTACCTGCATCTATTGCTCCATTACTAAGCTAGGAGGAGCCTTCGATTCACCTAGCTTTATATTCAGTATTGCCTTTTGCCACTTAAGGGGCTCTGCTCAGTATGATTTTTGATTCAACAACTACTTCACATTTACTTAACCATTTGAGAATTTAGAACCTCTTATTAAGACTCAATCTACTAAAAAGCACTATATAAGCATTGCTCTACAAACCCTCAAAATGCTGAAAAATGGCATAAACAAATGGTATTTTACCAGCAATTTAATGCCTATGAGAAGACAATGCCAGGGAGACCTAACATGTAGATTCCTTGAGTTGGCAGCAACAGCACTGATGTGGTCTACAGAAAGAATTCTGGAGTTCTGCTAGTAATGAGGGTGTCCTTGGATAGAAGTTACTAGTCTCTGGCTTCAGTTTTCTCGTCTAAGAAATAGTCTGGTTGGACCTACATGATTCCTAAGGTAGTTTAAATTGTTTCATTTTTTCAGTCTATGAAGAAATCATTTTTTCAGTGCCCTCTGAACTACATTTCAGGAGGACTTATTTTTGAACACTTTCATTCAAGTGTGTTGGACATAGCCTACATGCATCTCTAACCACGTCTTCATTTAATGAGCACTTATTGCCCAAAAATGTTTGCCGTTAGATTTTTAATGTTCTCAACCTAACAACCAACTGAGAAAAAGGCACTGATGTCTTCATACTTCTCTCATTTTGAAAAAGGCCATTCCTGTGAGCAATGAATCAGATCCCGCTTGATGCTGTGGTCCTATCCGTTCCAGCTCTAACTGTTCAGCAACTTCCTGTAAACCACCCTAGAAGAAAGAAAATCTGCCTGTCAACACAGAAATAGTACAATGCCCAAATTCACAAGTTATATAACTTAGACACTGACCAAAATATAAATGGACTTAGCACGTAAAGATGGACCTTATGAAAATCAGAAAAAAAAAATGTGAATTACAAATTAAAGTATTTGTTGAATATGGGAGAAGTTTATAATTTAGTAGAAAATGAGATCCTAATTGGGAAAATTTGTGTTCATCATATGCTTTAAGGCATGTGAGAGGCAAATAACATTCCTGAAGATTTGGGGGAAGCAAATCCTATACAGGGAACGGGTGTACAGGGGAACATTTATCGAGCACATTCAGTCAATCCATCCATCAATATAAAATGACCATCGGCAGTTTCTCTCAAACTTTCCTAAGCTTCTCACCAATCCACCTCTAAGTAGTTTACCTACATAATTTGTATAAAACAAAGCTATTGTGATTAAACCAGTCCTTAAAAATCCACTAAGTGCTTAATTATGGTTTTGTTAAAAAGAAGAGTATGCTGTTATAAGAATACAACTCCTTATGAGGGTCTAAATATCTGCTTATGTTAATATTGCCAGGCTGAAAAAAGAAAGGAATGAAAGCAAGAGAAAAAGAATAAAAGGGAAAAGTAAAAATAAAGGAAGAAAGAAAGGGAAGGAGAATAATGGCAGGGGGGAGGATAGGATATGAGTAAAGAAGGAAGATCAGGACAAACAAAAGAGACACAAATTCCTCCCTAGTTGTTAAGGTAAACTAGCCCTCCTCTGCTTCACTGCTTGAAACAGTGCTTTGCACAGACAGCAGTTCTGTGCTAAAAATAACATAAGGACTAGATATCATGAGCAGCTGCTAAGGAGCACAAGAGAATAGGGCCATTCAGCATGGCTGACCAGAGGTCAAAAAGCACCTTTTGTCATTAACCTAAATTTAACACAGCAGCTCACTTGGCATATTCAGAATAGCTGGTGTACCTAGAAATTTTCCAATATCATACACATGGTGAGCAATAATTTGGTCCTGTTCCTAAAATATGTCGTTGCAGAGCCATGTCAGATTTTAAAAAGCACTTCTAAAGCCAGATTAAAACATCTGGGTCACGGATTCTCAGCATGTAATGCTTTCAGGGGTGGACTGAGTTTCTGTAGCGATAAGGCAATCCTACTGCAAGTTCACTTGAGTCACAGCGAGAAGTCTCTTCAAATTGCACACAATCCTGCTGCTCTTAGGTGCTACAAACAAGGAGTGACCTTTAAAATTTCCCCAACTATATGCCGTATTCTGTAATAAGGCAAGCAAACTTTGGCCAAAACACTACTACTCTTCTGATTTTAAGTTCAATTATCAAAAGCAAAGTTTTCAACTCCTACACTGTTTCTTTCTGCTTATAAGTAAAGCACTTAAGGTTTTTGCCATCTCCTAAAAGTATAATTTTATCTGCACTTCTAAAACCCTGGTAAGAAAATGTGATCAACTTGATGTAGGTTGTACCAAGCAGCCACTTCACCTACACACGCTTTTTAGTTGCAGCTTAAACCCAAACACAGCTGGAAAAAAAATAAAAAATAAAAAATAAAGCCCTTCTATTCCTTGGGAGTCTAAGCCACCAAGAGAATTCATTCTCAAACTGAAGGAGCACTTTACTGATTAAAGAAACATTTCTTTTTAAAGAATTCATGTTCAGAAGTAACATTATTACACATGCATTCAGCAGCGTCAGAACACAAGCTACTGTCCAGACAGGACCTAGACATTTACAGAAGCACTAACAGCTTGACATCTTTTAGGCTGGGGAAAAAAAATCTTTTAGCCATGTTAATTAATCCTAGGAACGTGATCTGTGACTTGAACCAATAAAATAATTTTTGTCCAGGGAAAACTCTGTTTGCTACATTACTGACCTCACTGCTGGCCAGCTCAGACTTTATCTTGCATGGACAGATTGTGCGCATGTTGGGCAGCATGAACTTGCACTTCTGTGCATGAGAGCCTCGCTAGTCCTCACATTTTTGTGCAGGTTTATGATTTTCAATCTGGCAAAGATGAAAATCTGATTCTTGGTTTGAATTTTGTTGAAAACTTATTCTGCAATATACATTGAAACTCTGAAAAAGGATTTCCTATAAATAATTTATGCAACAAAAAGAATCAATGACCAGATAATATAATCACATTTAATACAAAACTTAATATATGGCTTAAAACAACATCCCAGGCTAACATCTTATTTATCAGTCACTCAGTCTAAATAGTGTGTGGACTATAAACAGCCACTTAAAAAAAGCCTTACTTTGAGATTTTTGCAGCTCTTCATGAGGTACTTCACATCATAAATGACAGGAAAAAATAATCGAAGGATCTCAAAGAAGTCAAGTTCTTCTTCAGGCAAGTTAGAGTTGGTCAGGATTTTGATTAAATAGCCAAAGTCATAACCACTACAAAAGGGTTAAGTACAGAACAGAGACATATAAATACCATAGAAATGAAAAAATAATTTCTTTTTCTGATACAAATTTTAAGTGACCCACAACTGCAGGAAAAAAAAGAAATCAACAAAAAAAAAAAAAAAAAAAAAAAAAGGACCTCCCCCCGACACACACAGAGAGAAAACAGACATGTTTGTAATGATGTAATGATAATAGGAAAATGCCATCATCTTACCAACAGTGATACGAACTTCTACCATTCAGAGATACCAGCACACAGATCTATACTAGCTTCTCAAGCCTATAGTCACTAGGTTACTATTTTTGCTGATCTCTAAAGGAAGAATTCTAAGCATCAAACCACCCATAGATGTCTCAAAAATTGTTAAATTATTATGGAAATGGAAAAATATGAATGAGAACATGGCTAAAGATGTCAAAATGTAGCAGAATTGGCAAAAATAATACAACTCTTCCCATATTTTACATAAAGAGGTCATATGCTTCAAAACCCAAAGTGGGGTGCCTGGGTGGTTCAGTCAGTTAAGTGTCCAACTCTTGATCTTGGCTCAGGTCATGATCTCAGGATTGTGAGTTCAAGCCCCAAATTAAAAATAAAAACCCAGGGCGCCTGGGTGGCTCAGTGGGTTAAAGCCTCTGCTTTTGGCTCAGGTCATGATCCCAGGGTCCTGGGATCGAGTCCCGCATCGGGCTCTCTGCTCAGCAGGGAGCCTGCTTCTCCGTCTCTCTCTGCCTGCCTCTCTGCCTACTTGTGATTTCTGTCAAATAAATAAATAAATTCTTCAATAAAAATAAAAATAGAAATAAAAACCCAAAGAGTAATTCCCTAATGAAAGTATTTTCATTTCCTTAAATGATTTTACCAGTCATTCTCTTCCCTCAAAATTCTGTTCCTATGTCATATGGCTCCTCAAGATATACTAATGGAAATGCTGCATTTTTCAGTAAACACTGAGAACTACTACCCAGAGAATAAAATACCAACTCCCACACTTTCAAGTCAGGATCTCCTAATTCTACTGTTTTTTTCCCCATAGCTTTGTATGTCCCCACATTCCTGTGCTTTAATTGCACACCCTTTTTCTCCCTGTCTACCTTTACTTCAAGGACAAGATGCCTTCCCTGAAGAGTCTAGCTCCCAGTGATTTCTTACACAAACTGTTTCCTTGTATTACCCTTTAAAATGCATTATTGTTTTCTCCACTAGTCTAGTAGGAATCACATTTTTTAAAATATCTTAAAATCTTTTACTTCACATAGCTGGAAGTCAGTACATATTTGGTGAGAGGTGGTATTAACATATCTTTTGGGGGATACAAATAAAATTTCGATTTAATGTTCAGAACTACTTCTAATTTTAAAAAGAAAAAAAGAAGCTTTACCACTGAAGACGGTTAAGGGATACAAAGTATAAGCAATTAACAGTAGAAACCTTTAAATTTCTGGTAATTGTCAAGGAAGTGACTGCTATCATCCAACTAAAGAGAAGTCAATACAGCATTTACTTATTACTAGTAAAAAACTGTACAAGAATTTGGGATTTATAAATTTCTTAAATTAGTCTTTATCTCATAGAAATATGAGATATTAGAATATTAGAATATGATGAAAATATTTAATGACATTTACAATAAAATCTTAACATACCTTGACAAATATTGGAGTCTAATTTAGACTATACATTCTAAGAAGACATGAACCCCTTATTTCTGTTTATCTATCCCCAATGCCTAGCATGCAGTATTTGTTCAGAGTATTTTTTTTTGAATGAAAGAATAAGTCATACACAGCAGAAGGTAAGGATGAAGGTTTCTAGTCATGACCAGGAAAGTCAAACGAAACAAAACAAAACAAAACCCTGAAAAACATTCCTAATGTTAACAGAGACTTCAGTCTTGTCTCCTGAGGTATAGGCTCAAATGGAGAACAGAAAAAAAAGATGACAGGTGACAATTAATATGTTCCATACTCCTAACTCAAAAACTAGTACTACATCAGAGTTGGCAAAATGAATAGTCCTTTACTACAATCACTCCAGAGGCCAGAGTTGGAAATTCTAAAGCATGCAGGAATCTATTTTTTTAAAAATGTGTGAAATGGACCCAATATAAGAACATTACTAGAAGGCCAAATAAAATAATTCCCAAGGCCACTTTTAGTCCCTGTGATTCCAATTAATTTAGTGTACCTCAACAGAAAAACTTTCTTACCTGGAAGTCTATTTTTACAAAATGGAACTACTTTCCTTTCTAAAAATTCTCTTTACAATCCAATTGTATTTTATAGTAAGAATGAAAAACAACCATTTACTGAGAATTTACTGTTTGTAAAATCTTTTATTAAAATGCTCTAAACATATTATTGATCATTAAAACTAGGTGTTTACCTAAGTGATGCCTACCTGATCACTCCTCCTTGAAAAGAAAAAATTAAAATCCACAACCCCCTGCTGTTTTTTTCTCCACAGCACTTATCAACAACAAACCACAATATAAATTTCATCATTCAAAAAGAATTGCCTATTCCCACCAGAATATAAACTTCATGAGGCTGAGGATTTTTAGTTTAATTCCTAGGATCTTATACCAGAGTGCTTGGCATTGGTAGATATTAAATATTTTCTTAACAAATGAATGATTTCATTCTAAGACTCAGAAATGTTAAATAACCCCCAGTACCATTGATTCCAAATGGCATTGCTGGATTTAAATCAAGATCTACTTTGTCAGCCTAACTCTTTCCACTATGTAATACTGTCTCTCTCACTGGCTAAAAATGAAATACATAACTTTAAATTAACTCTTAAATAGACCAACATTAGCTTCTTGAGAGGAGATTGCTCTGTGGCAGCCAGTTCCTTATAGAACTGAGCCTGAAAGTTCTGAAACAGTGACGCACACCAAGTGTGGAGCAGTTAGGAAATAGAAACACAAATGCCATTTTCAATGCAATCTTTTTACCTATGAAATGATAACCATTTGACCCCTTCGCAGAGGACCACTCCCGACGTCATAAGAAGTTCTGCAAAGTACTGGGTCTCAATTCCTTCCTCCTCATGTTTTTTAAACTGGATGCCAGATGTTGTTAGTAGCTCTATAGAGTCCTGGGCATACATGTCCTCCCTGGCAGAAGAAGAGAGACAACCTTCAAAAATGCCATTCTTCAAACAAACCATTTTTCTCCACTTACATCTACAACCTACAGTACCAGAAACAATAAAACACAGGACTGGCTTGGGTCTGATTATTCCAATGCTTCACATACAGGAAGGAAAATACAATTTAAATATTAAGGTTATTATTTTAGAAAAGTGTTCAGTAAATCATCTTTCAAAGCAGTCCAAGGGTGAGATTTTAATCTTTACTACTGATTCAATGTCATTAGCCTTTCACAAGTTACATATATTTAACTGAGTTTGGAAAAAGGGTCTTCTACTCACCAGGGGCTACCACCACAAAGTGAAAGACATGTTCTTTTCAGGGGCTTTCAGTCTCAGCAGACTTTTTATTGCTGCCCCATGGAGCTGTAGCCACAGGGGTAGGTGACAGCCTATATCCATCTCCCATGCTCCCAGCAGCATCAGGAAGGAAACCAAGAGGAAAATATCTGATGTGGCTAAGTTAAAACTACATTCCATCTTAAAGAAAAAGGAATTTCCTCCTCTCACTAATGAGCCTTTCAAATGGCTCCAATAACCAGTAAAATGTTTAAAATGGAAGACTTTGCTATAATAGCAATAATTTCTTCTTCTAACAATCTTAATCCTAGAAAATCCCCTCCCAAAAATGAAGCCAGGAAATCTAAATATAAACCAACCATTCAAGATTTTACTTAAGCCAAAAAGAAAGCACTAATTTCTAAGCACGAACACACCGGTATCCAAATGTTAAATTAAATTTTAAAAAAGGATCAAAACAAAGGTACAGGTTTCTGAAAATACATTTTAAGTATTTTGTGCACTGCCCGCTGGATTTTTTTCATTTACTTTTTAAATTGCAAGAATACTGGTTTCCACCACTTAGCAAAAGAAAATTCTATTAAAAGCTTTAACAAAACTAATTAAACCAAAAGCAACATTACATTTAGGTGAAAAAGTGTTCTTCCAGTCTATTCTCTGGAAATCAGTCTGCTTCTAAGTGTCTTTGAAAAATAACAAAACATAATGTTGTATGGTGTCAAACAGTAAATACAGTTATTGTGGTGAGCACTGTACAATCTACAGAATTGTTAAATTACTATTATGCACTTGAAACTAATGTAAGATATGTGAACTATCCTTAATATAAAAATTTAAAAAACAAACAAATACTAGCCATTGGAACATCTAAAAAAACAGAGGGACCTGCAATCATCACTTTAGGTCAAAATTTCCCGCAGGAAAAGCCCTTTGGGAAGGATTTCTGAATAAATCTAATAAAAGCTTTTTTCATTAAACAACAGATACCATTGGCCTTATTACACTAAAAATATGTATCTTAAACAATTAAAATCTCACTCATCAGACTCTGATGCTCACATTGAGAGGCATACTTTAGCAAATTATAACCAACCCAAAGCATAAGATTCTTTCTCTAGGCTCACATTATACTGGGCCATATGCTCACTTTATCTTTTAGTACACAGATTCAAAAGGGCAATGATTTTTGTCACTTTTGTTTAATGTCTATCACCACATCAAAAAACTTGTGAGGTGGAACAGTGAGTGTTGCACTACTTAAATCAGAATTTCCCAAACTTGCCCAATGACAGCAATCATCCAGAGAGTGTACCAAAAATATGGGTTCCCAGGTCCTATACCTAGACCTACTGAATTACAATATCCAGGAGAAAGATCTGGGTAAATACCTCAGGTGCTTAATAATCAACAAGTTTAGTAAAAAAAAAAAAAAGTATCAAATTACTTCTTTCTCTTTTTTTCTGTATAGTTCACATAACTCAATGCAGATTAAGCTAATGTACTATATTTCTTTGGAGTAAATATTTTAAAATTTGGAACCAATTCCATGCTTTATAATACCCAAATCATTAGAAGAGAAAGCTGAAAGTTCCACACAGGCAGGCTAATAAATCTCTAAATAGAATGAAGAAAATTTCCTGCTGGTAAGGAAAATTCTGTAATTGTTATAACTCAATTCTCCAAATCAATTCAAATTCAAACCTCCAAATCCCCTTCCCATGGTATCCATTTCAAGTTTTTTTTTAATTTTTTTATTCCAAAATTCATTGTTTATGTACCACACCCAGTGCTCCACGCAGTACGTGCCCTCCATAATACCCACCACCAGGCTCACCCATTCCCCCACCCCAGCAAAACCCTCAGTTTGTTTCTCCACAGTCCACATTCCCAAGCTCCAAAAATCCTAGTACATGTAGGAATATATTAAAGGATGGAAATCTCAAAAAAGTAGTCAAAACATTGTTTAGTCAAAAAAATATAAGGACTACTGCAGGTGCAGGTATTGGCTTACTGATTATAACAATCTGTTCAGAACACCAGGGAACAGTAATGATTGCTCCTAACACTCATCAACTACTAAGTTTAAGGAGGCAAAATATCCACTGAACTGGAGTGAAAGCCATGTACAAATACCTAAAAAAGGTTTTCCCAAAAAGCAGAGATACAAGGCTACTCATCTCAAACTATATCCTAAGAACAGAAACTAACTTAACTAGGTATGTTAAATCCCATAAATATATTTTTTCATCCTTTCTTAAAGTAGGCTCCATGTCCAACATGGGGCTTGAACTCACAACCCCAAGATCAAGAGTCTCATGCTCTATGTACTGAGCCAGCCACGTGCCCCTACTTTTTGACCTACCTACAAGTATAAACTTAGCCTACTACACAAATTCACATTTTTAAACACAGACTAAAGATTTTATAATTTGGAAATGCTTTCCAACCTCAATCCATTCCTGGCTCACCATACATTTTATATTTTAAAACATGCACCCTATATATTTAAGTTTATGCTAAAAAATCATGAGCAAAGACAAACCAGAATACAGACTGTTACAAATGCACAAACGGTCACAAAACTTAATGTTTTATGAACTCAAACCAAGAACATGTAAGATGCTCAAAAAATCTGCAAAGACTATATGAAAGACAACATGAACAGCCTGCAACTCTATACATAACAATAGCCTTTTAGCCTTCAAATGCCTGTGCATTATCCTATAAAACAAAATCAAAACCACCCTCTGATTCTGCTGTCCTTTCCACTTACGGTCCTCCCTCTATCTCCTCTCCTCTGCCATTCTCCTTCAGTGAATTTATCAGCTCCCTTTCTGTTACCACTAAACCCACAATCTCCTGTAATCTCTATTACACTATCAAAATTATTTTCTCAAATAATAATTACTGTAATCATCAAACTGATGTTTTAGAAATTTGTTCTCATCTCCTTTGAGATAGCTTTCTTCTGCACAGCTCATAAATATTCTACTTCAACTTTCATTTTACTATCAACTCCAAATTCAATTTAGAGAGAACTCCTATACATTGATCATTATCTAACAAATGCTAATTTTTGGACTTTGGCAATGGAGAGCAGACAGAAATGTTACAGGAATACAAAGTTACAAAGACCATGACCAACTTTCCTCAACACTATACCCCTGGCACCTAACCCAGCTGCTGACACATTCTAGGCACTCAATAAAAAAGTCAATTTTCATCTTTCTTCAAAATATCCAAGATTCTATTTGTGGTACTCTGTTCTCCATATTAAGTAGTCCCAGTTTTATCTTCCAAATAATCATTTCCACTTAAATAGTATATTCTACTATATCCTTCTCCTTAAAAACATCTTAGACATTAACAATAGCATAAATAGTGGCCAAACCTAGTAACAAGTAGCTCTCTCTGTATAAGAAAAAAAAGTCCTTCAAAGATTGTAATACGGCAGTTGTTATAACAAAGATGTTTCTAGAAAAGGAAAATGTCAATTTTTCCAAAATGGAGACATAGACGGGTCCACCTCCTACTCATGTATTTACATCACAACCGTATCTCAGTTTAAGAAAGTGTTCTAATGATCAACTTGGAAAAAAAGTAAAACAGAACAAATGAAATGGTGAAGAACTAATTTTAAAAATGGTTATCTTTTGAGAACAGGACAAAAGATAATTTTCAGTGTTTCAGAATTACAGTACTTATAAAAGGTTATTACCAGTTTGAATAGAGGAGTAATTTTTACCCTTTAAATTCAACAAAGTAAAACAGAAAATGAGGCTAAACACAATGTAATTATAAGCCATAGTACTGCACCACTAACAACATTACTCTCTAAAATCATCAGCTCTGCTTTTTAGATCTTACATGCTAAATATCACATTATTGTACAGAGAATGGGAGGTTCTTATATTGGCACTACTGTTAATTGTCCCACAGCTTCTTTAACTATTTTCTGAACCAGATTTAAGATCATATTACACAAGTACATGTTATCAAATAAGACACCACAAATATTTTAACTTAATTAGAATGTCTTAAACATTTCCCCACCTTAGAGTCAGTTTGTAAACAATCTGCCCTCAGCCAAAACACCCAAGACTTCCCTAAGCTATCAAGACAAGTAAGGAAACTCGATTTCAACCTTGGGCTTGAGTTAGAATTTAGTTTCTGAATGGTTTCTGAAAGAAATACCAAGTTCAAGGATACCATTACCTCTCCTATGTTAGTTCTTAGAGGTTTTGTGGGCTGATCGGGGAGTTTAACTATTACATAACTATTATATAATTATATTGACTTGACAAGAAAAAGCACCCAAGTTTCCAAGAAATGTCTTACTGCCCTTGACATGTAACCCATTCATAGTCTGGAGTTTGACTGTAATAAAAATATCTCCACACGAAGGATAATCACTACAACAAAGATGTATATATTTCAAGTTGCACACAAAGGATGAAAGTAAAATATAATGTTATAAGTTTATTTGTTATAATGTTATAAGGTTATTTTTTCTATCAAGAAGTGTCTGCGGGGCGCCTGGGTGGCTCAGTGGGTTAAAGCCTCTGATTTCGGCTCCGGTCATGATCCCGGGGTCCTGGGATCGAACCCCGCATCAGGCTTTCTGTTTGGTGGGGAGACTGCTTCCTCCTCTCTCTCTCTCTGCCTGCCTCTCTGCCTGTTTGTGATCTCTGTCAAATAAATAAAATCTTAAAAAAAAAAAAAAAGTGTCTTCAATACCCAAAGTTTTTCAGATTTCAAAAAAAAGTAGCAGTCATACTTTTCAAACAACATCTTTAAAATTCTAAGTATCTGAATATAAAGTCTTCTTTATCCTAGTTCTTTTGTTCCATTGGAAGAAATCTAATCTTTTGAAATTTTAGGTTTTAAATATTTCTAGGATAACTGCCAAATTCAGTTAGCATTTCATTCACCATACTTAAGAGAAATCAATTCCTAAAATTAAGCTAAAAAAAGTTTGGGTTGTATTTATTTCCCACTTACGTCAAATTAAATTTAAAATTAAACTGCCAAGTTGAAGTTCCTGGAGGATATTCTCCTTGCTCATTCATAAATGTCAGTCCTAGCTGAATTATCTTTAACAAGTCTACATTACATCGCAATAGTTGGTACTGATAGTCAGCATTGCTCCTGAATTCTCCAATAGGTCTTGCAACCACACCTGGAAACTCGGTGTCCTGCAAAATAGTTTTAAGATTCATTATTTACTAAATGACCAAAACCACAATCCACAAATTCTTAGCATAAATCATTAATTTTTGGTTCAAGTAAAAGAATCCTGTTACAGGTAATATTCTACACATTTGTATTCAAATACAAATTACCTTTTAACTATGAAGAGCATAACTTTTTAGAACCATAAAATAGAACCAAACTTAATGACTTTTTCTCATTTTAAATACTGTGTCAGAAAAAAAAATTATTCTGTATAAGATATGAATGATAAATGCACCAAGTACTCTACTCCCAAGGAAGGGGGAAAAAATCATAAATTCACGTTTCTCAAGGGGTATTTGAAACTGTGTTCACAGTATGCTAGTGTTAAATGAATAACTGGTTAAAAAGAATGGAAAATGCATCATACTTTCCAATTATTTCTCTGAGGTAAGGTATGTCTAAACATCAAAACCCTCTGAATTTCCTGGGCTAAAATAGCACTCTCTCTGTACTCCAGAGTAAACAGGTCACCAAAAATTATGTGATACCCACTTATTTCTGTAGAACGTTATCATGTCTCTAATGTCACTCCTTATCATCTGAGAAATGATCACTATATAAAAAACAACTTCTGGGCTCCTGGGAGACTCAGTTGGTTAAGCAACTGCCTTCGGCTCAGGTCATGATCCCGGAGTCCTGGGTTTGAGTCCCACCATCGGGCTCCCCCTGCTCTGCAGGGAGTCTGCTCCTCTTTCTCCCTCTGCCTGACACTCCCCCTGCTTGTGCTCTCTCTCTCTGTTAAATAAAATCTTTAAAAAACAAACAAAAACTTCAATTTTAATTATGGGTAAGTATACTTTTATTAAATAGGTTATCTATGTACACTCGAATATTCATATTTTTACCAATCAACCTGCCCCTCCCCACAAAAGCACATTTATTTATTTGCATTAAAAATACTGAGGAAATGACACTATATCACTTTACTTTTAAAATTCAAATTGGGAAACAAAGAACAAAATCTGGATACCAAAACACTATGAAACAGTAAAGAAACTAAAACTCTAAATTCAGTCCAACTCAACAACCACTTTACTGGATATTTTATTAACACAAAATGCTACGTGTGTTGTGGGTGAGAAAGGGTAAGACACTAACCCCTTGCTTTGTGGAACTTACAATCTGGAAAACAGTACAGTAACTGTAATAGATGTACAAAGTACAGCAGGTAAAGCAGCAAAATAACTCAATAGATGGTCTAGATAGATTAAATACTAAATGCAAAAGCAGAGATGCTTAACAGCACAGTATATTTGTGCAACTCCACTGTTGATTAAAACAACAAAAAAACTGCAGATCAACAGTGTTCTACTGGGAGGTCTGATTTTTTTTTTTGAGAAAGACATGCAGGAGCTCCCTAGCCTTTTTGTGCTCATCTGATATTATCAGTTAAGCCTTAAGTGTTGCTGGGCGCTGACCTGGCACTCACAGCTAGGTTCTAATGTTCTTCTGTTGTTGAGTATGAAGAGTTTTACACTTCAACATCAGATAAGACCACTCTGTAATCATGACCAAATGTAGACAAAAACATAAACATTGTCCAAACTACAAAAATGGTCAAACATCTTTCCATCTTGGCTAATGTAAGTAAACTGTTGCTTCTTCATAGCTTTAGTATCATTCTAGTCTTCTCTCATTCTATTTAAGACTTAAGATACCCGGGTGCCTGAGTGGCTCAGTGGTTAAGCCTCTGCCTTCAGCTCAGGTCATGATCTCAGGATCCTGGGTTCAAGCTGCGCATCAGGCTCTCTGCTCAGCAGGGAGCCTGCTTCCTCCTCTCTCTCTCTGCCTGCCTCTCTGCCCACTTGTGATCTTTGTCTGTCAAATAAATAAATAAAATCTTAAAAAAAAAAAGACTTAAGATACCCTGTCATAGAATTACCCCAGCTTCTCAACAGCATCCAATTCAGAGCAAGGCCCTGCCTCCTTAATCCCTCCCTAAAACTACCTGACAAAAGCCAAATCCTAAAGTCTTTTCTAACACTCTTACTCACATGCCCCATGGTTTCAGTGGTGTGCATTTTCCCTCACTGCAATGAGTAATAAACCCAATTTGTCACATTGCAGAAGTGTTCCTGGTGGTCTCTAGTTGAAGGACATTGACAAAATTTTCTTTTTATAATTAATCTCTACAGTATTAACCAGATGAACTGAATTCAAGACTTTTAATATCCTTGTTCCTCTTTTATAAGCATCTTAAGGATTTGATGATAGGCATACCATAGCAACGTAATTATATTTTCTGATAACTTGACGAATTTTCTTCATCTCTTCATCCAGGTTGCAAGCCCAAACTTCACAAATTCTTTGGCTATGATCTACAGTTGCTGCTGGCATAGTGAGGGCACAAGAAGTCTAGATGCCAAGCATCAAAATGTTATACTTGATTGAAGATTTGTTTCATAAAATACTTTATCCTTTATTTTTGTACCTGTCAAAATAAAAACCAGTGATATCAGAAATATGATTCATAGATGAACTAAGTTGATACAAACCTAAAAGATTATTCCCAAAGTCCTTGATTTGTAAGAAAATCAGTTTGGGAAATGACTTGTCTAAAGTCACACAGCTTATCAGTAGGAAAAAGAAAAGGACTGAAAAAGGTTTTCTGGTTCTAATATCAATGTTAGGCAAAAACAGTATTTTTTATGTGTACGTACTAATCGTTTTTTAAAAACATTAAAGATTGCTCTGAATTCAACTCACTCTCTGAATAAAACTTTATAAAGATATCTGTTTCCACACAGAAAATGAAAAGTTAAATAGTGATATAATGTGACTGGATCAGATGTTATTAGGACAAAGATAATGTTTGCTTTTACTCATTAACAGCAAATCTGATTTGATTACAAAATCTACTTTAGTGGAATTTACTGAGGTCAGATTAGAAGGTACTTTTTAGTAAACCAACAACAACAAAAAAAGAAAACAAAAAAAAAATCTCTTTCTGAAAAATAAGTAACAGCCACAGAAACTGTTCTAATGTCCCTAACTGCAGGAGGAAGGAAGAAAAGGGTGTATGCATTTCAAACTGTTTCTAATTTCCTAAAAACCCAAGTATAAACACACATCTGCCCTTCTGTCCAAAAACAGTATCATGCCACATAAAGAGTACAGACCAACATTTTGATTCTTGGACAGAAAAATTCCAAATGCTCCTTCATTTTTCATGGAAGTCTGAAAAAATCCTAACAAACGGGTAAAAAAGGGAATTATGATAGCTCCCAAACACTTCAGTCATACATGTAACCTCAAGTCCTCTAAGAACAGAAACCAAAGATCTAGGGGACCTCTCCTTCATTACCCTCCCCACTCCCCTACACACACACACACACCCCTTCATTACCCTCCCCACTCCTCTAAACACACACAGACACACACACACACAGACACACACACACACACTCTCAAAAAGACCCTGTAGCTTAACATTACTTTTCCACCTCTCTTTCTACTACAATTCCAGAAGCCCTGACGAGGCACCAGAGGCCTTCTCATTACTGGAAATACAATCTCCGTACTGCAGGCTCCCAAAGAATCGAAAACAGCACAGAGCTACTCGAGTCATAGATAACTCTCTTCCCTGGCAGACAGCCACTGTGAAGGTGCTTGATAACCATTTACTGGGGCCAGACTGACTCCCAAGCACTGCTGCCAGAAGAAATACGAGGAGCTGAGATCTAGGCCACCGCCCTCCACTCCCAATTTCCGTCCAACAACGTCGAAGCCCCAGGTACAAAGCCTTTACGTCATCACTCCGCGCCACCCCCTTGACATACCCTCAGCCCGTTACCCTGCCCCCCTCCACCCGCCGCCTAGCTTTTTCCTTCGCCAGCCGCGTTCCAGCTGGCGCCATCGCTCACCATCTCAGGTTCATCGTTCCCGCCCCCTTTCTACTTCCCCAATCCGCCCCTCCCCCCGGCAGACGCAAGATCTACTTGTGTCGCTGAGCTCGCGCTCCTCCTCCTCCTCCTCGCCATAGAGACAGCAACCAGCGGCGGTGGCGGTGGCGGTAGCGGCGGCAGCAGCGGGTGCCCCATAGACACCTCACGCCCAGCAAGGGGAAAAAGGGAGCTGGGGCTGCGCCGCACCGTGCTGCGCCGTCGCCTCTCGCACGTCCTGGCGGGGGCGCTAGGTGATGACGCGACACGCAGAGGGGGCGGGGCACGCAGGTGACGGAAGCAGGGGTGGTGGAGCGCTTGGGGTCAGACTGCCGCACTGACTGGTTTGGGCGTCGGGACCGCGAAGGTAGAGCTCCGCGTCCCGGCCGGCTACTTTCCTCTTTAGCTGCCCACAGTCATAGTGTTTCGCCCAGGACCCAAGGACCCCTCAACCGGGCTTGCTTAGAGAAGACGCGGCCCCCCAGCACTTAGGACGCGGGAGTCTCGGACTGCTCCTCCTGTCGCTGGGGAACCGCCGGGTTGGGCAGCTGGGAGAAGCAGGCCAGAGCCTTCTAGAGCCTCGGGCCCGGGGACCCGTGGAGGATGAGCTGGCTCTTTCCCCTGACCAAGAGCGCCTCCTCCTCCGCAGCTGGGTCCCCCGGTGGCCTCACCAGCCTCCAACAGCAGAAGCAGCGCCTCATAGAGTCCCTCCGGAATTCACACTCCAGGTGACTGGTCGCTGCCTTTCCGACCGGAGGAAAAAGTAGGGCGGGAGGGTGGGCTCCTCATTGCTACACATCGCTCCTTAGAGCTACTGCCCCACAGCTGCCTCCTTTTGACATACCTCCCTTCGTCTTGGGTCACACGCTTGCTCGTCTGTCCCTGACCTATGTAAAGGATTTTCCTCCGCACCTTTTCTCCCTCCTCCTTGCCTCACCACGGCTCAGGTCTTCCAATTCTGACTCGCTCATCCCTCCTGACGCATCACTTTTGGCTGTAATCAGTCTTGTGGTCTGTGTCCAGTATCCCTTGTTTTACACTGCTTCTTCACTAGCCTTTCCCTTTGCCCACCTGGTTGCCATATTAACAGAATTGTTAAAGTACTGTACTTGGCTAAAAAGAATTGTAAAGAGTAATCTCCAGGTTTCACAGAGTGTAAAATTTTGGGGGTGGTGGGTAAAGGAAAGGTGTTGTAACATAAAAGGAAAGAGAAGCCAAAGCTCTTAATCAGCGAATTCTTTTTGGTTGGGAATGACATAATCTTCTTAAGTCTTTAAGATTTACCCGGTTCCAACAGCCTCATCCCAGTCTGGCATACTAGTAGTCTCTACCTCTCTCACTTTATTATTCTTATTCCCAAATCCAGGAATTGCCTTATATTCATGTTAATCTGTTGTTTTCTTGTGAGTTGTTCCTTTTCAGCATGGTCTGAAATATGTTGCAATTCAAATTATTTCAGCTGTTTTTACTGTAAACTTCAGCCTTTTATATTGTAAATCTTTGTGACTTCTCATGGTTTACAAAAATTAGAACTGCCTCCTTTTATGGAGTTATGCAAGTTTATTTACTTAACAGTGTCACAGCACGTCTTTGTAAAGATGCCAACATCAGTCAACACTCTTTTTTAAATAGACTTTTCATGAATTTAAAAAAACATGTATTATGAGACAGTAAAATTAATTCCTGTTGAATGAACTATTAGGGGCCATTTTATCTGTTACTTTCAATATTTTTTTCCAAGAAAATTTCCCAAGGAAAAAAGTTACAGTGTAGAATAGTTTTAAATTAAATGTGTTGTTAGAAGAAAAATTGACTACAAAGTTAGTATGGCTAAAACAAGGGCTATTGCTTATTGAACTTCAGATGTTTCTTGATTCTTTGTCTCAGTTCTGCTTGTTCAGAACTTTGGAAGTATTCAACAGAAGATTGGCATGCTCTTTGTTTTAAAGATGGCTTTCTTTCTGGAAAATTAAGTTCACAGAGTTCTACAAATCAGGCTTAACTCTTTTCTTCTTTTATTCAAGTCAGTCTTATTCTAGTGTCCTAACCTGTAAGAGCTACTCTTACAGTAGCTTATATTAAGATAGGCTTATAAAATAAGTTGACTCATTTTGAACAAGCATAACAAAAGTTTGTCTCCTTAGAAAATACCAGGTTAGAAGATTGGTTTTATTATTGTACTAGTACTAGTATAACCAAAATACTCTTTAGAACTACACCTTTGGAATTAATTGCCTTTAGGCCTGTAGTATATTCTGTTAAATATTCTCACTGCTGGTAAATTTTCATTCTTTGAGATTGGATTGGACTTTTAAAATTGTTCAAAGCCTCTTGCTGCTAAGATTAGTAAATAAGGGAAGTCACTGCTCTGAAATTTCTTGTGTGTTTTTTTGGCCTCCCTAATAAGGTGACATTCTAAAATAAGAATTGCTAACCTAAGAAGTTCTGGAATTGGCTTAAGCTTTTAAGTTCTTTTATAAAAAGACTTGTAGTTTTATTTTATTGAAATATTTCACATTTATAAACTATGTTTGGATTATTTTGGAGACAATTAGGTCATGTACTTTCAGTTTTCACAGAATGGTACCATGCTGGAAAAAAGGTGTTATTCAACTATTCATGTTAAATCTACCAATTCAACTCATAGCATACATTTTAAAGCTAGTTTGTAAAAATGATCTCTGTATGCAGTATATGACAATATGTTGCTTGGATAGCCAAATTTCAATACCATAACTTATACTTAAAAAGATTGTTGTGCAGTAAGACACTGTGATTGGTGATTTTGAAGGTGCATTCTGCAAAAGTTGAAAGAAAGTGTCAGATGATATTTTAATGAATAATACAAAAACTTCCTAAATTATGAATATCATTATCTTGTTTTATAACCCTCCTCTATGTTTTATATTCTGTCCCTTCTTCAGATGTAAGGTCAGCAGCTCTTTCCTAGGAAGGAAAGGATTCAACTTCTGCCGTCCTCAGTAACCCCATTCTCTCTTATACCTTCCAATGCTTATCTTCTTTTTTAACTCCTTGTAATTCGAAAAATTCCATTGTAGGAAATAGTCTGTTTGATTCCCTTCCTCAGATGAATGTAAGTGTAAACTCCTTTTCTAGTTACCTTAAGAAATCCTTACCTCATCTTTAGCAGGCCTCTCCTCAAGACTAGTTGAATTTTCTGTGTATTTCCTCACGTTAATCTTACTGGTAAGGCAGGGCAAATAGGAAACTGTCATAGGTGACAAAAGTTTTAACCAAAGCATAATAACATGTTTGTCTACTATGAAAATGGAAACTGAAAGTTATGTAGACTAGGCTCAAGTGATATATTCCACCTTCTGAATAACAGTCGTCACAGTATTCAGTTTACCACTAACATTCCTGTCTTTGTGGGCAGGCGTAGAATTAGTTCTGTTGATTCTTCTTCTAAAGAAGTTCATTCTGAAGGACATTTGGTTTCCCACCCAAATCCATTTTCCCTGACTTGAAAGAACACTAGTTTTTATCCGGGTTCCCAGTATGCAGGATCATATACTTAAGGGAGGCTGTGCTTAAATAGTGATTTACACCAGTCATTCACTCCAGTTACTGTGAAAGCAGGATTCTTAACCCAAGCTTGTTCGGTGGGAGTTGAAGGAGAAGTCTGCTGGGGAGCTGCTCAAAACTCATTTTCTGAGTAATAGAGGTGTTTTGAAAGGAAATTCTTATGTTTTGGATATGGTTACATGGGACATCTGGAACTTGGATCATGCTTGGATCATGAAAAATAGGCTGACTACTGAATGTGGTAGAGCAGAAAGAGGGGATGTCCATGACAATGTTGTGATACCGAATTAACCAGCTTTGGAATCTTTGATGCCTCTGGACTTAGTCCTCTTTAAGTTTGGTAACCCCTTACTGTTTAAGCCACTTTGAACCTGGGTTTTCAGTTACTTGCAATTGAAAATATCCCAAGTGATAATTAGTAATCCCAATATTTAAAGATTCTTCAGAAGTGAAGCTGTTAATTATTTCCCTACATTGTACTATAATCAAAAAATGCTAAAAACTGATGGTCTTAACAGTTAACCATTTTAACTGTCCTGGCTTCTCCTCTTTTTAACAATATTTAAGTTAATTAACTTCTTTTATTTCCTTAGCTCTAAAACAGTAACCTGGAGCTGTGCTGGGAATGGTAATTAACTATGTAAACTCAGTCATACCAATAGTAATCTTTATTACCTTTTACTTAGGGGTATCAGCTCTCTCAAGTAAAGGACTTCTACATTCATTTTAATAATTACATGGTAATTCTGGTGCTATTTTTATTTTATATTTAATAAGGAAATCTAATTTGGGAGTTATGTTTGTCAGAACTAATTGTTCTCTTTCACTCTATTACGATGTATAGTCTCCGTGAATAGTCTTAATGAAAGAGGCTCTGAACCAGAAGTGAGGAGACACTGATGTACCATTAACTTGCAGGGCAACCTTGGATGCTCACATAACATTAATAGGCCTTAGGACCCTTGAAGTAAAGGATTAATTGTTTGATCTCTTATTGCCCTGCCCAACTCTGAAAGTCTGTATTGCTTCCTCAGATTCCTGGATGTGAACACTCTCTTAGAGATAAGAGACAAAATGAATTTGAGCAACATAAATGGAAGTAAACAAAAATTATGCCCTTAGGAAAAGCAGCATGACTTAGGTGAATGAAAGCTTTGTAATCAAACTGACCTGGATTCCCATTTGACTCTAACACATGATAGCAGTGTAACCTTTTGGCAAGTTACTCAACTTCTCTGAGCCTCCAGTTCCCATTTGTAAAATGAGGAATTGTGTTTCCTATCATGAAAGACTGTTAATATTTATGTGGTATTTATGAACATTTATTAGAGTACCTGGCACATATTAAGCATATGACAAATTATATTCCTTCTTTCCACTGCATAGAATCAATAGGCATGGAACCTTTGCCTCTTATCCTACATGCTTCTTCTCAACTTATTGTTTGTGAATCCTTCACAAGCTCACTTACAGCTCATTTGCCTGTGGCAGGAATACTTCGGACTTGTCATTCAATAAGCAAGTCCATTTCAGATAGCTTTCTCACATGAAATGTACCTGTTGTGAAGGATTTTAGATATAACACATGTAAAGAAACTAGCAGGTACTTGGTAAATAGTTATTTTTGTTTCTTAAAAATAATGGTGCCAGTCTGCGTAGTCTTTAAGAATTGTTTTCAATTTTCTTTTCCTTGAATA